ATTTCCTTCTGGAATTCCCACCCCCCTCAAATAGGGGATTCCCCATCTGGGATTCCCAGAGACGAACTAGCCCAAGGCTGAAAGTCTCTTTAATAAAGAAAAAAAAGCGGAACCAATCGAGCAAATCATGACCAACAACAGAAAAGAGCACATCAGCTATTGTGAACAAAACTTCGGAAACCCTTTTCTCGTGACTCAAGGCTCGCCCATGCAAACTAACACCATTTTGGGTTGGGGAAAGTTTCCCTTATCCGATGATGCCAGTAATTTGCGTTTGATTGGCGAGGAAATAATAATCAACGTTTTGTTTATAAAAGTTGATAGTGCCTTTCAGTATATTGAATTGGTTCCGCTTTTTGATAGATCGAAATTCTATCCGCCAGACTATGAATATAGCGACTATAAGCCGGTCTACAGTAGAAAAAATCGAGGTGTAATACCCAAGCGATTGGATAGTTTGTTTTGTTATTCCGCAGCACAGCAACATGTTCCACAATCCACCCCATGAGCGGAGAAAAAGTTGTAAATAGCCAGGATAAGGTACCGGAGAACAAACCTGTTGTCTCTGGTATATCAAAAGGAAATGCCAAATCTGGGCGGTCAAATAGAACTCGATCATCACTGGTCACTGGTCACTCCTGTTATTTTTCGCTGTCATTCCAATTCAAGAGCTCGATGTGAGCAATTTAAGTTTGTCTCGGCCTGTTCATTATTGCCCCGTCCTGTCCACGTAGTTCCTTCAGGTTATGGGCTCGTCTACGAAGGAAGGCTCCGGAATTCCGCAGTTGAATGGAACGAACTTCGAGAATTGGCGGTTTCGAGTTCAACTGTACCTGGATGCGGCAGAAGTTTTGGACGTATTAACCAAGCCAGCTCCCGGTGAATCGGAAGGGCGACAGATCGGAAAGCAAAGTTCTTGCAAGTTGGATTCCTCTCTGATGAATGTCTAGGCATAAGGCCTGTACTCGAAAAAATGCACCAGACAAAAGTGTTCGCCAAAAATTTATTTTAAGTCGGATTTTCTGGAAACTTCCAGGGAATGAACTAATACATATGGATTATGTTTCGGCATAATTACTTTATTCAATTTCCTTTCCATCGCTGAAAGCCCGCACCTTTCCCTTAAGACCCCTCATTACATTTTGTGCAATGGTGGAGGTGGAGCCGACCTTTTTGGTCACTTTCATCCATTCTTTCTTCAACTCCAGCTCGTTCTTAAACACCTTGGACGATTTTCGAACTTTGGCCTTCATTATGGCCCAAAATCTTTCCACCGGACGAATCTCTGGTGAATTTGGGGGGTTGGCGGTTTTTGGTACAAAAACAACGTTATTGTCTCTACCAATCCAACGTCGATCGCGCGTAATGGCATGATGTCAGGTCCGGCCAAAATAATGTCTCACCTCCGTGGGACCGCAGGAAGGGCAACAGACGCTTCTGGAGGCACTCGGTGCGGTAAATTTCGCTGTTGATGGTACCCATTGTGATGTACGGTTTGCTCAGTTTACCGCATTGGCAATTGGCCTGCCACAGCAAGTATTTTTTGGCGAATTTGTCCACTTTCTTCTTCCTTATGTCTTCCGGAACATTAAACCGTGATTTGGCAACGTAGAACTCCAGCCCTGGTATCTGCTTTGCGTCTGCCTTGATGTAGGTTTCGGCACCCATAACCACACACATCGGTTTCGTTAACCACTCTCGATACAGCTTCCTTGCGCGGGATTTGGCCACCGTGTTTTGTTGATCACGCCTTCCGGACCTTGAATACACGAAGCCCAGCTCGTTTCATGGTTTGCTGAACAAACCAGGCGGAACACTTTGCCTTCAGAGCCGCGTCGCGAATCAAAAGGTTCGGATTACGCTTGAAATAATCCAACACCTTCCATGGGCCTTCACAGGGTCAGCTGCCTTCGATTTTCTTCCACTTCCAGCCCGCCGCTCGGTCGTCTGGGACTCCTTTTTACCACCCGAGACACAGTTGTATGGGCGATTCCCAGTTGTCTTCCGATCCATCTCATGGTCGCAGTCGGATTTTCCATGACGGCGCGCAAAATTCTCCGGCGATTTTCTTCTTTTTTCAATGACATCTCTATAACCACTGAATCGATTGTTATGAAATTTTGCACATGTAAACAATTCACTCCAAACTAGTTATACCCAGATTTTCATCAATTTTTACCCACGGATAAAAATGGTGCTTTTTTTTCGAGTACAAGCCTTACAAGGTGGAAGACTTTGGGATTTCTGGCCAGTCGGCGAAAATAGCATATGAAGATCAGCGTGCACTGGACATCATGAACCGCACGGCCACTCGACGCGGTGAACGTTTCGAAGTAGGCCAGATCAATTACAACAACTCGAAAATGGGCTTGAATCCTGATTTTACTGAGCAGTATTGCAGCCAGATTGAAGACTACATTAATAAGGGGTACGCTAGGAAATTGGAGCCTGAAGAATTAGCTGAAACAGCTAACACCTGGTACCTGCCTCATTTTAGTGCGGTGAGTGCCAAGAAGTTTCGTTTGGTCATGGATGCCAAAGCAAAGTCACACGGGTTTTCTTTGAACGATCTGCTACTGAAGAGTCCTGATTTCGTTCCGGCACTGATAGCAATGCTGATACGAGACATCAAATCCTCATCCATAGAGAAGATCAAGATTCCCAACGTTTCCTGTGGCGTGGTATGAGCCGCACGGATTTTCCCGAAGTGTACGTTCTGATGGGGATGATATTCGGCGCTGTTTCGTCCCCATCGATGGCACAATTCATCAAGACCTTCAACGCGAAAGAGATGTAGATTGTGGTTGAAGGGAGGACTTGCAGCAAATCCCACCTGAAAGCGCTTTCAAACTAGTTGAAGATAGCCGTGGCTGCAAAGCAAATAGCATCCAACATCGAGAACAACAGTGTGAAGCACATTGATGTCAGACACCACTTTCTGCGGGATCATGTGGCAAACGGAAACATCCATCTGGAAGCTATAACAATAGCAGACCAGCTAGCGGACACGTTCTCCAAAGCTTCATAAAAGTCTTATGATCATCTGCGTTTTTGAATTTTGAACAGTTATCTAGTGATTTTTTTTAAGAATTGACAAATTATGTATCTTGACGAAGTTATCTCTCACGGATTATGTTTTATTGGTAGCTGTCATAACGTCTTTTTTAATAATTATTGTAGCACTCCAAAAATATTTTGTTCGCCCGTAGTAGGAAAGGTTATGAATAGGTAAATGCTCAATGCTGTTCTCTATTACTACGTCAAGTTTCATTAGCAATTTACGCACTCTAACAATTTGCCATATCTAGCTTCTAAATCCATCTTCTCTCATCGTGCTCCGCATCCTTTTGCAGAAAATCTTCATCGCGCACATCCCGCGACAGCAAATCAAAATCTTCCTTGCAGCTTAGCTAGAGTTGGACTTGGTCCTTAGTAATATTGTGGAATTAACCTTGCGAGTGCTGCTGCTTTTTTGTGTGGATCAAATCAAAAGAGTTTACCACACTAGACGTCGAAGATGGGCTTTATCGCAACACCTCGTGGACCAGTCGCAACACCTCGTGGACCAGTGATTACGAAGAGAAAGGGAGCTACCGTAGTGGCCAACCCCTTGAAACGAGATCCAACTCTCGAAGCGGCCAAAAACATATGGAGGCTACAATCGCAGCTGGCAAACAAATATCTGTCCTTAAAAAAAACCAATCTTATTAATCTGCAATGATGATTTAAAAATGAATTAAGTTGTTTAAGATTTGACGAGATCACATTTTGCATTTATCGCGAAACTCTGGTAGTTAGGTGCATCAGTTCTTCTTCGACGATTCTCATCCAAATGTTGAACTTCTTCAGTGCGTCAGTGACAAGCTTGACTGCTTCATATTCCAAAGAGTTTTCAGATGGTGAATTAGTTTTTGATTCAGTTCCAACCTGGAACTGGTTCCAACCTGGATAATAAGCAAATTCGCCAAGAGATTGAGATTTCGAACGGATACGTCCGAATCATCGCGAAAGTCGTCCGGTTTGAACAGCACTCAACCCCGGTTTGCTGAGAGAAAGCAACTCGTTCCTGTTGGGGATGGATGGATTACCGTCCCCTTAGTTGACAAATATTTGTAATTTTTCTACATTCCCTTCCCCATTCCATTTATTTGATAAGCTATGAGAGTTTCTCTGACTTAGCTATATAATAGTGCGAACAAAGAAGTACATGCTAAAGGACGTTATCCTCGTAGTGACGCTTCAGATAATGTACCTTGGATGTTAGATGAAATTTATGCTAGGTATGTTCAAACCACAGAGTTATAACATATTACAAGACTTCTTGATCTTGATGACAGTTTTCTTGTCGATAATGATCATAACACCCATGTAGCGTGGTATAACTCTGCACTCTGAACAAGGCATTAGGGTTTCAAATCATTTTAGAAAATTCCAACAAAGCATGATTCTATGAAAGTATCGTTTCGATGTCTGAGTAGAATCCACCTCTCCTCCCTCAGTTTCTTCCGATAACTCACAACCATTCATATTTGCTATACCATGCAGTTTCCGTCTCCTCCGGCGACGAAGAACCGAATGCCTTTATCTTATCAGAGTCTAAAGACGATTGCAGCTAAATGGCTCTATCCATTCATACGCCCAACCCAGGGGGACGAGGGGAAGAGACAGCAGAGCGACACACACACACCCACAAAAAATCAGATATACTTATCTTCGCATTTAGCAAACATCACCATCATCAACCAACAGCCGCAAACCCGATGAGAGAATCCCCTTTTTCAATTCAAACACTCTAAGTCCATAATGTCATGCTGACCAATCATTCATCCTACATCCAATCTGGCTCCGCAGATAAAGACACGAGTTTTCCTCCGAACGAACAATCAACCAACCAGCAGCACCGAGAAGAAAGTGAATGACACCGTGGCTCTTTGTTCTGGCTCGGTAGTGTTTCATGGTGCCTAGAGCTAGGCAATTTTCCGGAGCTACGGTTCACTTACCGCATTGAACAGCGAGCCCCTCGGGGTGGATGAGGCCAGTGCCAGCGACGAACCATAGTTCGAATTACCCACCGAGTGGGCTCTCCGCCGAGGAGGCCGCTGTGGAATCGATGAACTTCCGGAACTTCCGCTGGGCATGATTAGCGATGTGTTAAAGTTGCTGAACTGCGATCTCATCACTCGCCTTCCCTCGGGAAACAGGTCCGAGCTGAATCACACTCACACTCCGGATCGTCCGACTTTTTACATGTGATTTTTCCGATGTTTTCTTCGACCGCTTAGGCCAACAAATTAATAAAATTATTCAATCGCCCTCTCGGACAACAAAACACGACAACGAAGCGACGACGACGACGACGACTTCTCCCGGACGATCGTTTTCTCGTGCTTCTTTTTTCCGATCCTCAATCCTATCCGCGATGCCTTCTTCACCTTCAATGAATCCGGTTTTACGTAGTAGCTCAGAACAAGAGCACGTCGCGTCCGGAAACTCGAAATCGATTCCCCCACCGGGCAGTCGCACTTCGCCAATCCCTAGAAAGCGACCTTTAGCACTGAAATACGTGGAAAAATGACTGCAATTCGAAGTAAGCATGCAAACACACAAGAGGTGCACGATTATTCACTTTTCACTTCACTGCTGCTTCTACCGATACTTGCACTTCCAAAATGTGTACGTACAGGAATATTGCACTACGACGACGAAGAATGCGACCATCAGACGACACACGCAGATCTGACAAGCTGAACCTGTTCGAGCGGTGTACGGTCAATCGCTCGCTCGCTCGCTCGCTCCCTCGCAGTAAATATACCGAAAGCAGAATAAGATTAATCAGCAGCAAATTTGCCACTCCACACCGAACAAACTCCGATTTTTTTGCTTCCTTCGTCTTGCGCTGTGCACTGCGGATGTCTTTTGTTTACTGTTGTTGATTGTGGTGTTGCGTGTTGTTTTCGGGTTCCAGCGCTGTCATAATTATGGGGTTGGTGTCGTTTTGAACTGGCATAAGCGTATTGTTCTAGTACTGCTGGCAAACCCAGATGCACGCAACGAAAATTAAATAATAAATATTTTATCGAGGGGCACAGTCTTTCAATACTACACAGAAAAAAAAGTTGTTGAATATTACATCCAAACTGCTGCAACCAGGTCAATCCATCGGTTGTGTAATATAACGTTGTACGATGTACATCGATTTTGCGAACAAAATTACATCCATTGATGTAATATTGTATCTGTTTTTTGCTATTACATCATTATTTCATACATCAGCCTGAATTACATTGATCGATATTACATTTTTTTTTGCTGTGTACACAGCCTGCTGACCATTTAAAATCTTGCGATAACTGCATTAAATACTTTAAACACACTCTTAATTGGGATGTTTAGGGGTATTGAGGTAAATACATATTCGTTATCTGCATTAAAAATGGAACCTAAATCGAAAATTATTATTATTATTTATCTTTATTAGGGAGGCTTTCAGCCTTGGGCTGGTTCGCCTCCAACAAATCGAAAATTTCATAAATTTTGGTACACTGGTATTATTTTAAAAACGTACGATTACATTAGCAAAAATCACCATCTTATGCCCCGTTCACATTACAGCGTATATCACGTGATATACGCTGTCTTGCAATGAGCACTCATACATCTAGTTTTCACTGGAAATCATATGTATGAGTGCTCATTGCAAGACAGCCTATATTACGTGATATAGGCTGTAATGTGAACGGGGTATTAGCGTCCCTTGGTAGGACCAGTAGGACTTTGCATGGGAGCGAGCTGTCAACGAATAGATTCAGGGTCAACGATCAAAAATTTAAATCTTGATTTAAAAATCGAGATGAATGTCTACACTGATAAAATTTCAAAGATTGTTTTTATGTGTCCCACACATGAATTTTTGCAATTTGATCAACAAATAATATCTATGGGTCGGACACATACTTAATATGTGTACACATAAAAGCCATGTGTACCCACAAATACTATTTATTTGACTCATACATTTCATATGTGCTTCTATGTGGATTCTGTTTATGTGTGGTCACATGAAAATCATGTGGAATTTTACATGGAAATCAGGGGGAACGACACTCATTTGGATGTATTTTTTCAGTCTAGTAATTACTTGGGATTTTCAAGGAAAAACATAATTGATGGGATTTTTTTTGAGTGTGTCGTGATGACGAAAATAGAGCAGGGATAGAAAAAATAGATGGGAATAGATCAGGCAATTGATGTGATGTGAGGGGTGTTAAACAATTTCAGAGGGATACGAGTCTGAACGCGAAGAGGATAGCTGTAAAAAGAAGAACAATTTGCTGCAATGAAGCGTCCATGAATTACGTAACGCTTATAGGGGGAGAGGGTGTCACCTATATCGTTACGAATTATACATAAGGGAGGAGTAGTAAAGCTTTGCGTTACGTAACAAAGAGAACATTTAGTATTTTTTTTCGTTTCTTGATGTAAAGTTCATCATCAAGTCATCACTAAATCTTGCTTTGCAAAATGGATCTGTTTTAATTTTATAAATTGAGATTTTGGCTATCCTTAAACTTTTGAAAAGCAGATACTCGATGGTACGCTGATCTTTTCTTTTTGTTTTGAATATTAATAATATAATGAATTACCTAAAAATAAAAAATACAAAACGAAATCAAAAATCAATTAAATAAAAAGGCGGGAGGGGGGTTTATAGAGCGTTACGTAATAAATAGAGAGGGATCATTTACAGTGTAACGGGGGGGGGGGTCAAAAATATTGTTTTTTAGCGAAACGGAATTAATGGACACCGCTCGGGACACCGCCCAACTATCATAACCAAAGCTCACAGCTCAAGTGCAGGAAACGGTTCCGCACCGAATAGGTCGAAACTGCACATTAGGAGGAACGGGTGATGGCGATGGATTACAAGATCCCGGTTAATATTCCCAGCTGTATTTGGACGGGAATTTGATTCGCAATATTCTCGCACAGAAATACATCAGCCGGTGGGTGTCTTACTTCACCATTAGCTCTTTCTTAGCCGAACCCATGACCAGCAGCAGAGACGAGTAAAACTTGGGCCGAGTGGAAAAAAAATGACCTGAATTCCTTTTCCACCTGCTTGTCGTAGGGGATTTCATTGGTAAGGCTTTTCCCGGGGCTAGAATCAGCAGTTCGAACGAAATCAACAGTTGCTTCGCGCCTGTTCGGCAACTTCCATGCTGCCTACAACACACAGAGACCCGGCCTCTTATCCGTCGAATTCGATCGGTTTGAGTCCGGGATGTGCGTTGCCGTCTCCTCCGTGATGCACTTGATGTTTTTTGCCCCCGAGACCGATTATAGACGAGTGGTCCGTCATCTTTTTTTAGTTTTCGCACCGATTTTTTACCGGCATGGCCAGCTGACATACGTGGTGTTTGTTGTGGAGAGTGTTGTAAACTGACAGTGAGTATGGCAGAGTGCTTCGCGGTCGACGTGAAAACTTCGAAAAACTGCACGGCTTGCTTGCCAATTCGTGTGCATGCAGAAGGGATAAGTTGGGAATAGAAAGAATAGATAGGATGGATTGAAATTTTGTGCACGTTGAAAATTATATGAGAGGTTTGGGTAAAAATGGGATAATCCTGAAGTGTCGTTCCCCCTGATGGAAATACGCCAATAAAAATGTGTGGAATTCTATTAGTGTACGGGATCGATAAAAATATCGTTGTGCTCATTAAACAAAGCTCTATGTATTAAAATTGGTATATTTTTCGAAGTTAAACAACCCAATTTCAATTAATACTTCAATCACTCACAATATTTTGTATTTAAATTATTTTCAGTATAGTTTAATTATTTGTCATTACAAAAATTCTAGAGTAACATTTGAAAAGGGCCTATGTAAATAACGTAAACACTGTGCGGTATACAGTCATGAGCTTAAGAAAGTGTGAAATGAGCTGTATTAATGATTCGGTAGAAATGTGTACGGAACTAAAGTCGACGTACACTCTATGTCGATTTGATCAAAGTAGGCTTTGATTCATATATTTGAAGACCCAGAACTCGTGGCTTTCATTCCCAGGAGCTCCAAGAGGTAAGTAATAATTTTTTTAATTATATCTGATCGGGACACGGACTCCTGATTTCGTCGAACATCTGTCGGTATCAGGGTCGGTATACGGAATTTTGACCGGTGGACCGAGTTGCGACGATCTGGAACGTGTTCGAGGTCGGATGTGTTTACAAGTCGCACTGAAAAAAGTTTTCCCTTAGTTTCTATTAGGAACACACATAGTATTTTTCCAAAAACAAAAACAATGATTTTTACCTGAATCTCGAACTGAATATCACCAACAATCAATACGAAACTAACGATTTTAAATTGGCTCACCACTTTAGTAGCCTATTGGTCCCAAGCAAACGATTAACGTACCCTATTCTAGTTGAAATTCTATTACTACACTATGTTTGTTTTTGATTCGCTATGAAAGTTTGACAGATAACATCAGGGGTGCGTGGATTCATGCAGAACATGCAGGGGTGAGTGAAATAGCTTGGGACTGCTTGGGACCGTTGTTCTGGTACTGAGTGAGCCAAAAATAATAATGATTTTCTTCGGGACCCAGTGGTCTTAGAGTTACCTCTATGGTATGATTGTGTCAGTGATTTGTTTTCATCCGGAAAATTTTCCGCTATGAAGTTTTTTTTTTCTCCCGATGAAAACATTTTGCGTATACGTATACGTGACGTAGTGTGCGTACGATAAACGTCAGCAATCACTATGACACAAATAATGCACCTGAAACCGACGGAGAATCGCAAGTGCTGTGATCAATGTGATTGGTCAGGCAGAAGGAAACAAGTCAGCACTTTCATTATCACGACGTTCTTATGCATAATCTAGTGTGACGAAACGTTGGATCATGCGTAAAGTGGACCCTACACGATTACTTTTATTGACAATAATCGTATTGTCAATACATTCTATATTGACGTCAATATATCGAGATTGACAATATTTCTGAATTCACATCATCAATATTATTGTCAATAATTCCCCTTCGCGTCAATGTATTGATGCGTGTGGGGTTTGCTTAAGAACACCGTGAGAACGAAAGTGTCGACTACATTCCTTCTGCCGCACCTATAGTAACGCACACGGTTCCCGCGCTGACTGTTCCTTACTTTCTCACTCTAATCAAAATTTCCTTCGATGAGTGAGAAAACAGCTCCCCGTCAACGCGAGCGAGAACGCGAGTTGCCAGATCATTGCACACAAAACCAACTTGAATTAATTCAAAACAAAAATACTAACGAACCTGGCGGTGAGGGGCGGAAGGTGGACTAAAATTCTATTACTGAGAACCACATTATTTTAATTATTTTCTTCGGAGAAAGTCGTCTGTCACTTCGTTTGTGGTACCAGAGCTGAGACAAAAAATTTAGCTCGTTTCTTCGGGAACTTCTGGTCTTAGAGTTACCGAGTTACCTCTATGGTTCTTATGTGTACGTATAAAATTCATGTGTAACCACACATACTATTCATTTGACTCATAAATTTCATGTGTACTTCTGAGTGGATGCTGTTTATGTGTGGACACATGAAAATCATGTGGAATTTTACATGGAAATTCGCCAATAAAAATGTGTCGAATTTTATGAGTGTATAGTTTTGACTAGAAATACTAGAGGGAGAGATAAGCGGAAAGAATGTTTTGAGCCAAATGAACTGTCAAAATTTGAGCCAATCGAACATTCCCATTAAATTTTTTCCGAGGATTTCTTATTCTTACTAGATTAAATTTGAGAGTATTGCCACAAACGAAGTGACAGACGGAGCGGCTCAAAAACTTTGGTGACTAACCTGCTATTGCAATTTTTCAGTGTACCACATGGCAACACCACTACTGCTAGATTGTACCACATGGCAACACCACTACTGCTAGATTGTACCATAGAGGTAACTCTAAGACTAGAAGGTCCCGAAATAACGTGCTCAACTTTTTGGCTCAGCTCTGGTACTCTCTTCGGTCCCAAGCTAATGATTCACCCCTCGAAAAACCAATAACCCCTCATTTTATCTGTCAAACTTTCATAGCGAATCAAAACAAACATTGCGTAGTACTAGAATTTCGACTAGAATAGGGTACGTTAATCGTTTGCTTGGGACCAATAGGCTACTAAAGTGGTGAGCCAATTTAAAATCGTTAGTTTCGTATTGATTGTTGATTGTACCACATGGCAACACTACTTATGGATTGTACCACATGGCAACACTAAATGTACTAGAATGTTCTGGTTCTATCTCTTTCACTCTACTCTAAACTGAAATGCATAAAAAAAATTACAAAATGATACACTCTTTGCACCACAAACGAAGTGACAGACGACTAACTGGCGAAGAAATCAATTAACATAATGCGGTTCGCTGTAATAGAATTTTCTTAGAAGCTTGTGCCATCAGCCACCAGATGGGCTAGTATTTTTGTTTTGATTTGAACATAGTTGATTTTGTGTGCAATATGATCTTTGACAGTGTGCAAAGAGTGTATCATTTTGTAATTTTTTCTATGCATTTCAGTTTAGAGTAGAGTGAAAGAGATAGAACCAGAACATTCTAGTACATTTAGTGTTGCCATGTGGTGGCTGATGGCACAAGCTTCTAAGAAAATTCTATTACAGCGAACCGCATTATGTTAATTGATTTCTTCGCCAGTTAGTCGTCTGTCACTTCGTTTGTGGTATTGCAATCGAACAGAAATTCAATCACCTTCCCTAATAAAAATAACCATAAAAGAGAGCTTAACGACGTGTTCGGGGTATCATCCAAACCATTTGTGGTATAGTTTACCCATCCGGGATACAGTTCGTTTATGGTATTTGTTTATTAGGGTTTATGTTTCATGTGCTTCTCAAATTCAACTAGTTTTTTTTTTAATAAAAAACAATATTCTAACCATGGACTCAAAGGGTCCATGATTCTAACTCTATTGATTAATTGATCTTAGTTGGTTAATTAATGGCACAAAGAAATGTGCAAATAGTGCGATGTAATCAATTATTATTTTGCACGTAAATCGAATCAAAAGTAACAGTCATGTGAAATGCTAGCTTCTAGCAAGGATTGCAAGATTATTTGGGAACAAATCCCTGCTGCCGAATTGTATTTTGTTTTCTCCGCCCATCTCTCCCTCTGAGGCTGTGTTCCATTTGGCGAATTTTCACTTAAACTTGACAGATGGAAAATTTCCAAATTAACCTGCTATTCCAGCAGACTTATATCTGACAGACAAGGAATCAATTTTGACACACACCTTCTCGAAAATTGGCCGATCAACAACAGAGGGATTTTCGAACATTATAATTTAGTTTCGAAGTGTCAAATTTAAGTGAAAATTCACCAAATGGACCACAGCCTGAGTATTTCTAGTTTTGACAGTGTTTAGTTAGAAATACAAAATACAATACCTGACCTGCAACTCACTTTGGTATGTACTGTACTTTGCTCTAGTACCTCATACTTGTTCCAAATGAAACGCTGGAGGCCTGGAGCATCTGACGCTGTGTGACGATTTTGTGTTTAATTTCGCAGATAAACAGTAAACGTTGACCATTCCCTCGTTTTGTCTGAAAGTGGTTCGTGCGGTTAGTGGCTTTACATTAAAATTTTAGCAGCGTCCGCAAAACGTTAATACAAATTTTCTCTCGTGCCCGTCTTGTGCCATGAAAACGTTATCGGTTCTTCTGCTGGCGGCCGTTTGCTTGGGCTACGCCAGCGCCGAGGGAAAGTTGAAAATCGGCGTCAAAAAGCGGGTCGAGAATTGCACCGTCCGAACGAAGAAGGGCGACCTGGTGCACATGCACTACACGGTAGAACAAGAGAGGTGCTTCAACACGAGGCTTTAAACTACTATAATCGATTTTCCGCTTTTCAGGGCACTCTGGAGGATGGAACCGAGTTCGATAGCAGCATTCCACGGGGTGAACCGCTGACCTTTACCCTCGGCATGGGGCAGGTGATCAAGGGGTGGGATCAGGGACTGTTGAATATGTGCGAAGGCGAGAAGCGTAAGTTGATCATTCCACCGGAGCTGGGCTACGGAGCGCGTGGTGCCGGCGAGAAGATCCCACCGAACTCAGTGCTAATCTTCGAGGTCGAACTGACGAAGATCGAGCGCAAGACGGAGCTTTAGAATCTCGAAAACAGTGAGTAGATTTTCTCCTCATATTTTTTGTAGTTCTATGGAATAAAAGCATTTATTTCGAATTTTCTACCGAGAAGCGTTGATGCTTACTGATAGTTCTACAGTCTGTCAAATGTGAACACTTCCTGATTATTTAGTTGGTTGGGGACATCGATTTAATTGCGGAACATGATGGGTGAAAAGTTGAGGAAATTCTAAACGGTATAGGTACACATCTAATACTTCTTGATTGCCTTTCGTATCAGCGCTAGTCGCTGTTTGTGGGCCTCCGTCACGGTAGCTCGCTTATACGGTCGTAACTCATCCGTTCCGAATCCTGGAATCCACATATTCCAGTTGCGTTCTAGAATGGAAAGAATGATTTACAACTCAAGGACGCTCTTGTAAGATGTGCTTCGAATTTACCTAGATGTAGCTGCACATCGCGAACCTCCACCTTGGCGACCTTCCTATGTTTGGCCAGCAGGCACGCCGCATTGACCGTATTCTCAACGAAGTCGTCTGCAATCTGCAGCAGCAGTTCTTCCACTTCCTCGTCCAACTGTTCCGTGGGATCAATTTCACGGACCAGCTCCTGAAGGCGAGGTTTCGTGAGAATTTGCGAAGCCGTATCGGGTGCACCGCTCGAACTGGAAGCGGCTGCAGCAGCGGATGCCTTCTGACTGCTGCTGCTGGAACCACCGCCAGCTCCGGTTACGGCTGCTCCCGCCAGCGGACTGGCCTGCGAGGGCGATGCCATGTTCTGGTCAAAGTCAGTGTTCTGCTGGTAATCGATATTATTGGACATTTTGCTTGGGTTTTGTGTGGGTTAAATTGTACAATTTTAGGTTTGTTGTTTTGGGTGTACTTAAGCGACAGAATACAATTCAAAAGAAAAAATATCGGTTAAACATAAATAATTTAGCTTGACAATCGTAAAATAAATATTTTTTTTATGGAAAACCACCAACTACGGAGAACTTCTAGAGAGAGGAGGATAGTGTTTGCCAGCAGCCTGCGTTCACAAAAACAATAATTGCGATGGACAGAGCCGTTTGCACTTGGATACTACACAATAATCAAAACACCAATAATAATGAGTACAGGAACTGGAAAATAATGGATTATAAAACCTCTGTTCCTCGGGGATCGCGTTCCGACGCGCCACTAAATGACAAGACAGGTTCGACGTTCAGGGCAAGCTGCCAAAAGTCTTCGTCGCTCTCGTCCAGAGCTGCCAGGTGGTTTTATAAAAAATCTGTATCCACTCTATTAAAAAATCTGTATTTTCTGTATTGAAGATTTTTTTCTTAATTAATCATGTTTTGTTGTTTTACAAATACAGTGCATACAAAATAACCATAAAAAGTGCTTAACCACCTATTCGGGCTATCGTACTAACCATACGGGATATAATTGCGCCATTTGTGATATCGTCCGTACTTATTTATAAGAGTGATATGAAGCCGTTTGAAAATGTATGGAGATTTTAGTTTCTATTCATTATCTTCCTGATAAGCAGTAGTAAATGCAAAAAAGTGAACGAGTTCATTACTATTTGATATTTTTAATATAGATGAATACAATTAATTACATCATTTGTGTGGTAGTTACACCGAAAAGTCGAGAGATGTCGCCCCGCCAGTGCTGGTAAAATCATTTTTGCAGTATGGAGAATATCAGAAAATCCGCAATTTCTTACGAAATACATTTTCAATGCAAGTAAAATGTTTACGAGTACTTGTATTTGTACCATTTTAATGTGCTCGGGCACTTTTCTTGTATTTAACATACATGCTTATTTTGGAAATATTCAATTAATACTGTAAATCCCCATACAATCTCAAATCGTTTACTACCAGCTTCATATGCATCATTTTATAAAAATCTGTATGAATCTGTATTGTAATTAAAAAATCTGTGATAAATCTGTATTCTGTATCGGGTCTGTATTAAGATTAAAAAATCTGTATAATACAGATAAATCTGTATAAATGGCAGCGCTGCTCTCGTCCCTCTCGTTGTCACCCGCACTATTTCTGTGAGTGCATGTGTTTGTTTTGCTGCGTGCACAAGTGTGAGTGATACACAGGTTTGACAACATATCGCTGGGTGGATTCACCCCGGAAGGTCGAATTCGGTCATGTCAAAATGTGAGTGCAAGTATTGAAATCGCATTAGAGTTGACGGCACATCCAGCGTCTTTTCACGCACCGTTTCCGCACTTTTTATGAGTCCAGTTAGAAAGTGTCCCAATTGGCAATCTAACGATAGCATAAAGCGCCACTTGTGGCAAATAGGAGAAATAGAAAACTGATGATGGTATCATAATTTTGCACAGCGAGGTATTGGAGAATATTTTAAAAACACTTTTATTTAACGAATAAAGTATTTTCTATAAATTTGGTTGTGCAAACAAGGTTAGAAAAGTTCAGATCTAAAGATATAAACGAAAACTAAGAAAAAACATAAAATTTTAAAATTATACGTCTATCGGATACCTTTTAAGATTAAATCTTAAATTTTCTTAAATTAAATTTTCTTCCTCCGTAGCAGCTTTTAAAAAAATTACAAATATTTTTTTTTCTTTGGTTCGCGTGTAAAGGGCATTAGAATGTTTGTTTACAAATGCTTTTGTGCCGTTATCAAATGTTATGCCTGATTTATAAGTGATAAAAACAATTTCGAATCGGAGCGTTTTATTTAGTTTTATGGTTATAAAAATGATTGCACTGCAAGCAAAACAGTAAAAAAAATTTTTTCCTTGGTTTTTTTTTCCGTCGATCTTATTTTCCGTGCAGAGCACCAATGCTACCGACGCCAGGAAGGCAGCTCCCACACCTAGACCCTACCTATCGACCCATCAACTCATGAACCGGGGACCAATGGCTTTACTTCCCGAAGGAAGGCGTGATCAGAGATGTTATGCCTCAGAACATCCCGGCGGCGCCAACTAGGATTGAACCCAGGCCTGCTGGGGTGAGAAGTAATCACGCTTACCACTACACCACCGGCGCCGCTGAACAGTAAAATATTTTGCAAAATGTTGCCGCGCTCTTCATTTTCATTCAGTTCCCGTCGAACGTTCAAATTTTCTCAACAGCCTTGCGGCACTGTATGAAAGTCATTTGAAGCCACTCTAATAGTACGTTCAAACTATCCAGCTTTCCATGCTCGGTAATGGCGGCCTGTTTGTATGAATAAAAGTATCCTTCAGGTTCGGATTTTGATCCCTCCCTTCCCAAGAAACATTGCAAGTTTTATCGAGGTTTTTAAGCACTCTACAAGTCTAAATCCTGGTCTACAGAACCCGCATAAAACCCAAATTGTTACTTGGGTTTCCCTCTCCCAGGAACAGAAGAAAATGGAACAACATACGCCCTCCAGTTAGTGTCAAAAATTACAGAGAAGGATACATATATTCATACAAACAGGGCGCCATTACCGAGCATGGAAAGCTGGTTAGCTGATATCATATAATATAGGCTATCTGGATTTCAAAAGTCATGCCTAGGATTTCCGATCAAAATTTGACGTATGAGTGCTCATTGCAAGATAGCCTACACTGAAAAATTGCAATAGCAGGTTCGTCACCAAAGTTTTCGAGCCGCTCCGTCGTCACTTCGTTTGAACGATGGTTCGGAAAGAAGTGAAGTTTGCAAAGGTAGTTTCAAATATGCGAGGGGCACGCACTAGTCTTTCAATACTACGCAGCCTACTGACCAAATGTTTAAATTCTTGTCATTACTGCTTTCATTACACTCTAAATTTTATTAAATACTTTAAATACTGACAATATTTGATACTTAAATCACCTTAAATTATTTTCAAAACATTTTATTCTTATTCAAAACAAATTATTTGCCATTACATTAATTATCGTTAATTATATGTTGATTACTTTCAATACCGCTAAAAGTATTTAAAATCAAATGATTACTGTCCTCAAAGTATTTAAATTACTACGATGTATTTTAAATATCACGCACTCATACCTGGTAGCTCGCCTGGTAGTGCGCGCCCCTCGCAAATATGTTTTTCAATAAAGTAAACCACAATTAAAAGTTATAACAAGACCGAAAATAATGCATAACTTCATGGAAAAGGTCTGATTAGTAATGTGCGATTTAAATACGGTTAGGTTTAATTGAAGACAACATATCAAGAAGACTGGCAACTTTTCCATTTTCTCATACGACCGCTATGAGACCGAAACAATCGCGTCATCTGCCGCTCAAAGGTAATGCTTCGAAAGATTTGATAGCAAAGATTACTACCTCAGAAGAAAGGTTTGTGTATTTGCTCATTTTTCTATTCAGCACTTGCACCTTTGCTCGAGCGCAGCGCTACTGTATTTGTCGCTTGGATTCTGGCAGAGTTGCCAGTCTTCTTGATTTGATGTCTTCGGTTGAATTGAATTTACTGAACATTGTATAAAAATGTACTAATGCTATCAGTGTTTCGTTCCATTAATCCAAATTTCAGACTAACAAAATCGCGCCATGTATTAGGGTACATCGGAATTGATTATAGCATATTATGCTCCCTCTCTACATTAAGTTTTCCTTTCAACCCACACAGGCAAATCTTTTTGACATAACAAATCCATAACCGAAACGTTCCATACATTGATTGCCTGTTGACTATCCATTGCGATCATTGCATACGCAAAACTCGCCTTATCACTCGCGCACATATGAAATAAGTCGCCTTCAACGGAGGTTCATTGACGTAATAACCCAGTCGTTTTAGCAAAAAAAGAAAATATTTAAGTGCCATTTACGTGAGTAAAATCGTCTCATAGTGCCAGAAAAATGTCCCTCATGTCCACGGCTCGACAGCTGGCCCGTTTTGCCAGCCGAAATCAACTTCTTACCAAGGTAAATGATTCGGGTTTCGTAGTATAGAAGATCGCATAGTTATGACATCCTATCTTTCGCGTTTCAGTGCCTGGCAACTCGAATGGTTCACAGCGAAACGCAGAATTCGGCGGCTGGTGGCGAGCGCGCTAAATTTCCAGGAGCCCAAGCGGCTTTCGTCCGTATGCCAGTGATGTCGGTGCCAGAAAACGCCGAACCGATTCCAATCTATCGGGTTATGAATGCTGATGGTGTGGTTGAAGATCCGTCACAAGATCCTAACCTGAGTCTCGAAACGGTTCAGAAAATGTTCCGAGATATGGTTCTTTTGAACACCATGGATAAGATCTTGTACGAGTCGCAACGTCAAGGTAGAATTTCCTTCTACATGACCAACTTTGGAGAAGAAGCCAGCCACATCGGAAGTGCCGCTGCCTTGGACTCCGAAGATTGGGTTTACGGACAGTACCGAGAGGCTGGAGTTTTAGTATGGCGTGGCTTCACGATATCGGACTTTATCAACCAGTGCTACGGCAACCTCGAAGACGAAGGGAAAGGTCGTCAAATGCCAGTGCACTATGGGTCCAAGAAGTTGAACTTTGTTACGATTTCATCCCCCCTGGGAACGCAGATTCCGCAAGCCGTCGGTGCTGCTTATGCATTCAAGCGTCAACCGAATAATAACCGATGCGTGATCACGTACTTTGGTGAAGGAGCTGCCTCTGAAGGTGATGCGCATGCAGCTTTCAACTTCGCCGCAACACTTGACTGCCCGGTGATCTTTTTCTGCCGGAACAATGGATTTGCCATTTCAACTCCTTCGACGGAACAGTACCGAGGGGATGGTATTGCCGGACGGGCTGCAGGATACGGAATCGCAGCACTACGATTCGATGGAACGGATACCTTTGCCGTTTACAACGCCACCAAGCTGGCTCGAGAATACGTGCTGAAGCACAACAAGCCGATAGTGCTGGAAGCGATGCAATACCGTATTGGACATCACTCGACGTCGGATGACAGCACGGCTTACCGTTCGGTTGAGGATTTGGAAATTTGGAACACGGTTGAGCATCCGATTTCGAAGCTGAAGAATTACATGAAGCATCGCAATTGGTTCAACGAGGAGGAAGAGGAGAAACATGTCAAAGCGGTTCGCAAGCAGGTTCTTGCCCAGATCAACCAATCGGAGAAGATTCCGAAACCGGACTGGCGCGAGGTTTTCCAGGATGTGTACCACGAGATGCCGGCTCATTTGAAGGACCAGATGAAGCAGATGGAAGAACACGTGGAGAAGCACAAGGAGCATTATCCTCTAAAGGATTTTAAACATTGAAGCAGCCGAGATCGACTTTTGTCCCGAGTGACAGTGAATAAAGTGCATTTATTATAATATAACGAGAATCTTAGCTTAAAACTATGTGTCTTCCTGATTGTATACAATATATAAGCTTTTTGAAAAAAATAAATTCATATTTTTGAATGAGAGGGTAATTGTTGTTTATATCAGGCTTTCAATTTTTAAGATAAACAAAACATATTCTTTAAGATAAATAAATTGTTATCTGATAAAATTGTAAAGCTAATTAATTGTAGAGGAAAAATAGCCCTGCTTTTGCTGTATGAAAATTCTCTGCAGGCTAAACGACTCGGTTCAAGATACGTTTTGCACTACTGTTTCCGATGTTTTCGCATCATTCTGAACAGTATACTCTATAGTTTGTTTATCAGCTCTCTAATTGAAATTAACTATAAATAATACGAAATTATCTTTGACATGCATCACCTATAAATAAACAACCATCGGTGCAAGCCTCTACCCTCACCGCCTCTTGCTTGCGATTCGAGATAAATAAAAACAAAATGCGACGACGCAACCTTACTATTTTGGTTTGTTGTGCTCTTCTAGTCGAACAGATTGTAGCAACCGAAGGTGTTTGTCAAAACCGGAAACGGGCCGATTGTTTGTTTACTCTGGAAAGCGGTAACAGTTACTATCGAAAAGGACGCTCTTCCGATATGGCCAGCAAACTGTTCGCTTGTGATTTTGAAGTTTTCGGAATAGTGCAAGGTAGGTGTGAATTTTGTTTGCTCTGTACTGCGTTATGTAAAATGATTCTGATCCGCGTTTTCTGCATTACAGGGGTGTTCTTTCGGAAGGTAAGAGCTTAAAAATAGATCTTTCTCGGTGAAAGAAGTTTTCTGATGGCGTTTATTGTTCTCGGTGGCGGGCGTAGTACACTCAGAAGCAGGCTATCACTTTGGGACTGAAAGGATGGTGCAAGAACACCCGCGATGGAACCGTTAAAGGGCAAATGGAAGGCGAGGTAAAACCGATGAATGAGATGTAAGTAACCGTTCGAATTTTAGTCGCTTGCATGATTACATCAAATGTAATTTTATTTTTTTTATGTTACAGGAAGCACTGGCTACAAACCAAAGGAAGTCCCACTAGCCGCATTGATAAAGCTGTTTTCACTGAAATGAAGGAAATAACCAAATTTTCGTTCAACGATTTTTCTATCAAGCATTAGACTAGTCACAACAGCACACTTCATTATTTTAAATATAATTTCTGGGGCCAATCCACATTTGACATTGTTTTTGCAATATACGAGAGCTCCGGAAAGCATGTGAAGCGTGTGTTATTATAGACCTATTTACGCGTTCATATCTACAAGACGAGTGGTGCCGATGCCCATTTTTTCAACAGCTGTATTGAATTTTGTGTATTTCCCAATAATTTCGACCATACATTTGCAATGCCAAAAAATTACACGTTATTGTTATTGTTTATTGAAAAAATCAACTGACAATTACTATCTAAATGAATAAAACTTAAACTAAATAGTTACGGTCAACGGTACGGAAAAGGCCAAGTAGCCGATGACGAAACACGTCAGCTGATACATTGAAGTCGAACATATAAAAAAAGTTGTTGAATTGCCGGCTGATTGCTCGAACTGGTGTTGTGTATAATTCCGGCTCCGTGGTTCCAAAAACAGAAAGTCGCGTTGACGAAGAGACCTCTCAGGGGCATACATATTTAGCTGTGACAGCAGTGTTGGGCAGTCAATGTCACCTGTAAGCAGCTTTCCAGCGAACATAGCTTGAGCGACCGTCCGTCTCACCTCTAATGGCTCGATTCCCAGGTGACGGCAACGCTCCTCGTACGGTGGCCAGTTCGTTGGGTCACGCCAGTTGAGGAAACGAAGAGCATATCTCACAAACTTGCGTTGAACGGATTCAATTCTAGTGATCCAGCTAGCATGGAAAGGGCACCAAACAACTGAACTTGACTCCAATAAGGATCGCACAAGCGAGCAGTAAAGTGACCTGAGACATAGCGGGTCACGAAACTCGTCGGCAATTTTGAAAATAAAGCCCAATTGTCGCTTAGCTCTGGAGATGATGTCATTGTAGTGGATTCTGAAAGTGAGTCTGCAGTCCAAGGTAACGCCGAGATCCTTTATGTGCTCTACACGAGCAAGACAGCGTCCGTAGAGAACATAGTCAAACATGATTGGTTCGATTTTTCGGTGATAGGAAATAATGTTACATTTTTCTATGCTTAGACTCATCAAATTTCTTGAGCACCAGTCAGCAAAAATACCTAACATATTCTGGAGATCCCAGCAGTCCGAGAGGCTTTTAATAATTTTGTAGATTTTCGTATCGTCTGCATAGAAATCGCGACATCCTGATGGTATCAGCAAGGCGACATCGTTTAAAAAGATCGAAAATAGTAGCGGTCCTAGGTTACTGCCTTGCGGGACTCCCGAGTTGTTTGAGAAAACATCCGATTCAGACGCGCCAATCTTGACATGTACATAGCGATTCACCAAGTAAGATCTGAACCAATCCACAGCAGTTGACGAGATGCCAAGTATCTCCAGCTTGGCCAGCAAGATATTATGGTCCACCGTGTCAAATGCAGCTTTTAGATCCATATACGCAGTATCGACTTGCCATCCTGAATCCATGCATCGCAAACAGTTAGAAGTGAACTGCACCAGGTTCGTGGACACGGAGCGCTTCGGGTAGAAACCGTGTTGTTCTGTATCGATATAATTTTTGCACCATTTATGATAATCTCGAACAGTTTTGAGCAGGCACACAGGGAGGTGATTCCACGATAATTTATGACATTCCGTTTATCTCCTTTTTTGTGCACTGGGAACAGATAAGAAAGTTTCCAGCGGCAGGGGAACTCACATTGCTGTGCCGAGAGATTGAATAGCCTCGCAAGTAGAAGGCAGAGATTGGCTACACAACGTTTTAGAACTGATGACGGAATGCCGTCAGGTCCGGAGGCGAACGAGAGCTTCAGTTTGCGTGTTGCGGCTATCACCATGTCTTCTGAAATGCGCGGAATAACGAAACTAAACACATCACGTGGCATCCCAACAGCAGCATCCAGCACTTGTGTTGGCGAAGCGGAGAAATCGTTGAACACTTGCTTGAAATGACGAGCAAACAAGTTGCATTTTTCTCTTTCACTATTAGCCGAGTCATTCCCGAGAAACATGGAACAAGGCAACCCGGATTCCTTCCGTTTTGAGTTGACAAACGACCAAAAACTTTTCGGATTTGTGCGAAGGTTCGCTTCCGTGCGTCTCACGTGTCGATTATAGAGAAAACGATTGTAATTTCGATAACTACGACTCGCAAAATTGAACAGTCGTTTGTAGTACGGCGAGCGAGAGTTACAATACTTTCGGAGGGCGGCAGAGCGTTGACGTTTTAGCACGCGTAGGCGTGGGTTAGACCATGCAGGCTTTAGCGCAGGTCGTCGAGCTGGGACAATGCGGAAAATAGCATCTTCCAGTGCAGCACTGAAAAAATCCACTGCATCATTCACGCTAGGGGCAGTTTCGATAAATTGCCAATCAATTTCCTCAAGCGCAGTGTTCAATGCAACATAATCGGCCCGGCGAAAGTCCAAAGAGTAGCACTCAGATGACGGCGTAAAAAGAATCGGCGCAGGTAAACTAAATGACACGACGAGAGCGGGATGATCGGCATCTAGATCAATCAGTGGCTCGACCGGCAAGGAAACAGAAGTGCCCGGTAGTGCGGAATCATTTGCCAGGACAAGATCTAGCAAACGTCCATTTCGGTTCGGAAAAGTATTCACTTGTGTGAACCCGTAAAAGTTAAAACCGTCCAAAAGAGCACAGCAAGCAACCGGCATATGCGAAAGCAGTGGATCAATTAATGGTGTGCCACTGTCTGTTAAGCGCCACTGCAGACCAGCTTGATTGTAGTCACCAAATACGAAAGCGGGAGAGCAGGGACTTAATTGTGACGAAATTGACCCTAACGATTCCACATGCTCACGGATGATCGTGCAGTCGTTTTTGCGGTCGGGAGCCAGGTAGATTGCGCCTACACTAAGCTTGCTTTGTGGAAGTTCTACGACAATCCACAGCTGTTCCAGTTGACTGGAAATGGGTGACGTACTTACGTAGCTGGCTAGTCTAGTAGATACTGCAATCAGGACTCCACCACCGCGCGATTTTTGACTGTTTAGGGTAGACCGGTCAGTTCTGAAGACGGAATAGAGTGACCCGAAAAGTTGCGATGAGTAAATTCGGTCGTCCAGCCACGTTTCCGTCAGCACAATCAAATCATATTCGGCCTCTGCAACAGCCAGGAAAAACGAGTCGATTTTAGTCCTCAGCCCACGCACGTTTTGGTAGTAGATCCGGAGACCATTCGAGGAGCAATCACGGGAACTAGAAATCGAAAGGACATCAGGTACCGAAAGCTCGGAATCGCTAACATACTCGCCTGAGGTTGCAGGCCGGAAGCCCCCGACACCATCTTCGACCACAGGACCGGGACGATGACGATGGCGGATGTCTGCAGCAAGCGTGACTGGGTCGGGAGGTTCGGAAGCTTCCTCAGTGCCTGTTTTAGGGTGTCCCGGATCCGAGGAAGAGCAGGTGGTGGCATAAACCTGCTGGTAGTTGGCAGGACGGATGCATGGACATGATGTGGCTAGTGTGGAGATCGCAGAACCGGAAACACAGCTAGAAGTTGAAGCGGTATTAGGCAAAGGAGAAGCTGAATCGTCAATATACTTGCCAGTAATAGCTGGCTACCCGACCTACATCTACACTCAGGGCCGAGACGACTATGCAGAGCGCTGGCTGGAATAAGCGCGACTGAGACAGAGAAATCAGGGGCTTCCACAGTGCTATCCACGATGCGTCTCGGTGGTGATGGTGGTGGTCCAGAAGCAAAAAAGGTAGCAGCATTATTCTTGGAAATCGTGTAAACATCATGAAGCGTTGTACTGGAACACGGAAACTGATCAGGCAAATGACTGTAACTAATGTATGCATACTTGCCTGACGACGCTGCTTGGGAGACCTTACCACCGAACTCGACCGCAGGGCCAGAACGACTCTGATGGCAGGAAATAGAACGGCTTTGATGGCGTGGTCGTGGTCTTATATAATAAATCTTATTTGTTAACTGCAGCTTGTGTTTTGTGTAGAAATAGGAATTTGAGCGGGGTTCTCTCTGTTTAAACTCTTAAGTATGACGCACTTGACAAAGATGATCCCCAGCGACTCACCAAGAGCTACTGATTCCGATCAATAGCGCTGCGGATTCTTCCTCCTTCTATGGATGCTCATGTGGGTTGCAGCTCACTGCTTGCAGGCAGCTTCCGTCGTGTACTGGAGAACAATGTTCAACGCCACGCGCCTAAAGCACTGCTGCTGCTGCTGATGCCGATGACCGGACACCACCATACATGGTGATTGGAACTGAATTCGATCAAGCGGTTGAGGGCAGCCTTGATAGCTAGCTGCTTGCGGGAGCCTTTCGTTGTGTACTGGAGAACACCACCACTCACCACGGGGTGATTGAATAAACACCGTTTGGTGAGACCGGATGAAATTCAACTTTGAAATCTGTATTAGGAAAATCGCTTTTCGTAGGCAATCGGTTATAATTTTAATTATCATAGGAACAGTTGCACATTCGTGCAATTTTCAATAGTGACATTTTGAAAAATGATAAAGTCTTAAATTGAACAGATGCGTAGAAATATTTCTGATCGATTGGGGATAAAATTATTGAAATTAGTCCAGGGGCAGCTGAGTTATTGACGTTCAAAATCATTCATAATTTTGTTACATGTTCCATTTTCTGTCTTCACAAAGTGTACCCCCATACAGAAAGCACAGACGTAGTCCGTAGTCCTACGTCAAAAAATCAAGCTGACGTTATTGCATCATAGAAATCCAAGCACCGACTTTGGCTGATCATGCGGGATTCTTAGTTTTCATGTTGTACTAAATTGATGGCGATTATTTCAAGTAAGTATCGACATTTGGACCATGAATTCTAATGAAATATTCTTCACCTGGACATTCTAAGTCTTGATATCTTAAGTATTTATCTTCAAATCTTTTATATTTCTTCAAGTCCCGATTTTTTTCCTTTTTCATGGTACAGGATACCAAAAAATAAGTCAAATAAACAAATGTCCCAGAGTCTAGCAATTTAAATTTTTTTGATAATTTTTGAATCTTTTAAATTCAATGGTTGAATTTACTAAATTGCTTCTTAGGAACTCATATCTGGATATCGTTGCAAATTTTCGATTTAGGATCATTCCAAAAAGTCTTCAGAACTGCTTTTATTTTCAGGATTTTCCTCAATAGTCCGAAGATTCTGCCGAGAATTAGTTTAATTCCATTTAGAATTAAGAAATGTAGCCTTTCTAAATTTCCTTGGATTTCACCTCAAAATGCACACTTAGAAATTTTCGCCGACTTCGGTAATTTTTACCGAAATCTGAACAGCTGAACTGTTCGGTAAAATTTATGAAATTCAATTCAAGCAATTTCAGCTACTTTAAAACTGAATCTACACTAAAATGACAAGATTTGATCATTTAACCAAGGTGGAACATATTTTAAAATTATTTTCAAATTCAATAGCCTTTAAAATGAAGGTCAAAGTTTTACCAACAATCAATACGAAACTAACGATTTTAAATTGGCTCACTACTTGACTAGCCTATTGGTCCCAAGCAAACGATTAACGTATCCCATTCTAGTCGAAATTCTAGTACTACGCAATGTTTGTTTTGATTCGCTATGAAAGTTTGACAGATAAAATGAGGGGTTATTGGTTTTTCCTATGTTTCGAGGGGTGAATCGATTAGCTTGGGACCGAAGATAGTACCAGAGCTGAGCCAAAAAGTTGAGCACGTTATTTCGGGAGCTTCTAGTCTTAGAGTTACCTCTATGGTTTTACCGAACGTTCAGCTGTTCTGATTTCGGTAAAATTTACCGAACACGAAAACAAAATCTTAGTGTGTGCCTTTTAGAGGATCTCTTGGAATTATTTTGGAATCTCTAGGAGTACTACTCATAATTTCTTTTGAAATTTTCTCAAAATATCTTGCCCAATCCAATCCAAAATTTCTTAAAATTGTTATAAATTCTTTTAGAAATTTTCTTGAAACTATCTTCACCAGCATAAAATTCTGCATAGAATTTTTTGAGCTATTTAAAAAATTAAATTACTATAGAAGTAGTATCCATATGTCCATGCAGCTCTCCTAAAAATTGCTCTTTGATTGATTGTTTGTTCAACATTTAAGAGGTTTTCAGTCGTAGGTGATCATTAGGCGTAGTTTCAGGATTGTAGTCAAGTTTGCCTTAGGGTCTCGGTTGGTCCTTCATATTCCTTTCGATTTGCTTTAAAGTTCCCTGGAATTATAATCATAGTCCCCAGAATAGTCTCTTCAGAACTACAGGATTCTCCCCGGAGTTCCTTTTGTCTTAGATTTCCTCTACAACTATTCTCAAACCAGGGTTCTCATCTGATCACTCAATGCGCCGATTTTCTGAAATCCACATACTTAAAATCAAGCAAACACAAAATTTGCTTCCTTGCACCGAAGACAACAAATCAAGAAGACTGGCAACTCTTCCATTTTTTCATGTGAACGCTATGAGACAGGTACAATCGCGTCATCTGCCACTCAAAGGTAAATGCTTCGAACGAATTTGATAGCAAAGATTACATGATCAGAAGAAAGGTTTGTGTATTTGCTCATTTTTCTTTGCGTTGCTTCCACCTTCACTCAAGCGCAGCGCTATTATATCTATCGCTTGGATTCTGGCAAAGTTTCCAGTCTTCTTGATTTGTTGTCTTCGCTTTCACCCTGTGTAAGTGTAAAGTAGAAATACTCAGAAGGAGAGATGGGTGGAGAAAACAAAATACAATTCGGCAGCTGGGTTTTGCATGTAAATTATCTTGCTAGAAGCGAAGACAATATATCAAGAAAACTGGCAACATTGCCTGAATCCAAGCGACAGACACAATAGCGCTACGTTCGAGTGAAGTAACGCATAGAAAAATGAGCAAATTAACAAACCTTTCTTCTGAGGATGGAATCTTTGCTATCCAATTCGTTCGGAGCATTTACCTTTGAGCGGCAGATGATGCGATTGTGCCTGTATCATACCATACACGCTAACTTGAAAGTACCAATTAAACTAAATTTTTATTTTGCACGTACATCTAATCGAAAAGTCATGTGAAATGCTAGCTTCTAGCGAAGACAACATATCAAGAAGACTGGAAGCTCTCCCATTTTCTCATACGTACACGCTAACTAACCCATTAATGATAAAAAAGACCAAATTTTTAAGAAAAGTGGCTTAACTCATTAAATGAGCAAAAAATGTTGCCCATTAATGAGTATCTGTTACCCATTAATAAGTAACTGTTACTCATTAATCGGTAACTGATACTTATTGATGGGTAAATTTTTTTACTCAATAATGAGTTAAGCAATTTTTCTTAAAAATTTGGTCTTTTTTTTATCATCAATGGGTACTTTCAAGTTAGCGTGTACGTATGAGAAAATGGGAGAGCTGCCAGTCTTCTTGATATGTTGTCTTCGCTAGAAGCTAGCATTTCACATGACTTTTCGATTAGATGTACGTGCAAAATAAAAATTTAGTGCATCGCAATGTTTTGCACATTTCTTGGTGCCATGAATTAACCAACAAAGATCAGTTAATCAATAGATTTAGGATATAATTTTTGATTCTAAAAACTAGTGGAATTTGAGACGCATACGAAAAATTGTGCTGATTGAGTTTCTATTTGATTACAATACTCTCAAATATGATCTGGTAGGAATAAGAAATCTGAAAATCGAATGGGAACTATCGATTGGATCAGATTTTGACAGTTCATTTGACTCAAAACATTCTAGTGTAAAGCAGCGGAGAAGAGAAGAAAGACACACACCCTGAAGTAACAAAAAACTCAATGTATAATATAATCACAGACAAACAGACATAACTCTCACAAGTTGTTCATCGAACAAGCATTTAACGGTCCATTTAAAAGTATCTCAGTTGGTAGTACTGCCACCTGTGGCACGCATAGTCAATTCCCTTGCGTTTGACGTTTACACACTACCGCCATCTGTTCAGCGTACTACCCACCACCGTGTACTCAACAGATGGCGGTAATGTTTTAGCGACGATGTTTTACAATGAGAAATATTCAATGTGTTATGTCTGTTTGTCTGTGATATAATCATTGCTCAGAATTTCAGAAAATTGTGTCCCTTAACGCAAAAGAACGTAAGAATTCCATAAGGACCACTTATGAACTATAGCCACAAGAAATCGGTATGGTTACCCTAATAAACGGATACCATACACTAACGATATCATAGATGGTACGACCATACCGCATAAAGTTGGGATGATATCCCGAATTGGTGGTTAGGCGCTTCTTATGGTATGCGGGATAATTTATTTGCCTTATGAAAAATCGTGTTGTCAAAAAAATAATAAACCCGAGCAGACTGGACCGAACCATGGACGTTGAGCTTACGGGGATTAACGCTTGATATAATGAAATGGTTAAAGGCATTTAAGAGCTACCTCATGTTAGACGAAAATCATTCATAAGTCACGCTTATGAAATTCGTATTTGTCGTTCATAAAAGAACCTTATAAAATTAAAGTTTATTTACCTCACTGTAGGGCTCTAATCTAAAGTGGGCTTCTTAGAATTGCTGAAGGGGTGTGTGTGCTTAGGAGATTATTAGAGTCGATGCGTGGAGCATTGCAGGTTATTACGGAAGACTTCAAAGCGCATAGAGTGTAGGTTTCAGGGCAAATCGAGATGTCTTTTGAAGCAAGTAATGCTTTGAGCTTTTAAAGTTGTTCTGAAGAATTTTTCTTTGGATTTGTTTGGGCATCCTAATGTTTTATCTCGAAGTATGAAAGGGTTACTCATAAATTGTATAATCTTTGTCTGTAGTCAGCTGGATTTGATCTTCATTTTTACCTGATGAACTCTGGATAAAAAGCACCTTTATTGTCAAAAAATATCGAATTTTCCTTGATATTTCCCGAGTTAGCCACTTTTTAATTTGCACCAGGGGCTCCCGAATAAACATGCTAAATCTTTTGGCTCAGGAAGTACCAAACCTTCGGTTTCAAGCTACCCGTGTATGGGAATCATTACTTGATCTTACCAAAAATGGTTAAAAATTGTTTATAATCCCTGCTAAACCTTAACTGAAATGGTTATGGAACTTTAAATGAACGCCCAAACAAATCATCACTGTCAGCACAGCATCGGGCAGAGGATTGAACCCTGTCGTCTGCAACCGCTCGCGCATCAGAGGAATACCTTCTTTGCCGTCTGGCCCATCAAAACAAAAGCCCCGAAACGTCAAATCGCAGAGTGCACAACAGAAAAAAAAGGCAAAAAAGGCTGCAAAAAGTCTTCTTTCTGGTTTGCGACGAAAAGAGAAAGTGCTGGCATAAGCAAACACTGCACGCATTTTATTTTGTGATCTGCGGTCGTCATTATTTTCCTTGTGTGTCCATAAATATAAATTTCCCGTGCGCAAGACCTTACAGTGGTGAGTGTTGTAAAGTGATAAAATTGAAAATTGCTGCTGGGGGAGGCTGCGAGGAAGATGATGATGGCTTGCGAATAAGATTAGGTGAAGCCGCGACAGATTCGTCTGTCATAAAATCGAAAAGTCATACCAGCAAAGCGAGCCCCTCCGATGGTACCGAGGAGTATTGGACAATAGCAACGGGACGGATTTGATTGCCTGCGTGGTGTGTGTGTGTGTGTATGATAAGAGCGAAGGTGTGGACCCTCGAGTGTGGCTTGATAACGATAAGGTCCCGATCGGCGGTGGTGGAGGTGGAGGGTAATATGTGGGGCTCCCTGTGAGGTGGCTGTTTTGGTGCGGAATTATTACGTGAGATTTGGCAGAACGCAATAGAAGAACGAACGGCCTTCGAGCTGGGTGAATTAAATCTAGGTCAGATATTGCCGATTTTGTTAGCGCTGTTTGCCAACTTGGAGGAAGCTAGCAAGATTTGGGCTAAGATACGGAAGAAGATGGACGGGAGTAGTGTGGGGAGTTCCGGAAGTGGACCTGCGAGTGGTTCCGGAGGAAATGGTGGGCGAGGCATGCGGGAAAGTGAAGACAGTGGCGACGAGAATGCCCTTGGGATCAATGGGCAGTCACGGTTGATGCTGCAGTCAGATACGTTGAGGAGCAGCGGGAGTGGTCAGAAGAAATCCTGGTCCGAGTTGAAAGCTATAGTGAACGACATGAGACGACAGATGGCTTCCTTGGCGAGCATGTTTCCAATGAATGTCAATTTTAGAACGCTGTCCGATGGAAGGACACGGGTGTATTTTCTGAGTCCGCCGCCGTCAAATGGGTGGGATACGGTCCTGTTCTATGCGGATGTCCCTCAAAGCGAAACAGACACTCGGGCTCCGATGCGACTCGATTGGAGTCCTGTGCTGGAACCGATAGTGTCCCATTTGTCGGCTAGCAACTCTCGCGAGGTTCAGTTGCTACTGGAACGGAAGCGATTGTCGATATGGGGCATCACTTCCTACGAGCTGCATAAATCGAGCGGGAAAATAGTGTTTCCCGCATGCAACACCTTGTACCAATGCTTGGACACTGGTTACGGTGAAGGAACACTGTTCCCGTCGGAATTGAGAATTTTCCAGCGATCAGCTGCCATAGACCCGCAGATTTGTCCCCAGAACTCTGATCTCGTAGCGTACGTTTGCAATGGGGACATTTGGGTCGTTCACACTCTTAGCGGCCACAGCGAACGGTTGACTTTCGCTCACGACGGGCGAAGGTCATTCGCCGAGGATCCCCTGACGGCCGGAGTACCTTCTTACGTAATGCAGGAGGAATTCAGCCGCTATCAGGGATTCTGGTGGCAACCGAATAGCACCGATAAGATCTATCGGATAGTCTACGAGGAAGTGGACGAGAGCGATGTTAGCCTGTACACGTTCCCATCGTCCCAATCCGTGGGTGGAGATTACGAAGAGTACCGGTTTCCCCGGGCAGGATCACCGAATGCCAAGTCCAAGCTGAAGCTGGTACAGTTTCGGCTGTCCGAGTCGCTGAAAATCGTGGATGCCTGCATCAAGGAGCTGCAATGTCCACTGACGTACGCTTTTCCGTGGCTGGAGTACGTCGTCCGAATCGGATGGACGCCGGATTCGAATTAGTAAGTTGTGTTTGGGGTTTAAAGTTGATGCCTGCTCAAACTAGATTGATTGTCTTTTACAGCGTCTGGGCCCAATTATTGAACCGTGTTCAGCAACGGTTGGATTTGGTACTGATTCCGGTGGATAACTTTTGTGAGCTGTACAGCAGTTCATCTCCTTCGCCAACGGCAGGCGGGAGCCACGGCACTGCCGCAACCACCATGAAACCTTGTTCTTCCAACGACTACTGGAAACTCCCATTGGATCGTTCGACGCGTCCCATGCAGGTCATCTTCACGGAAACCTCCAGCAATTGGGTGAATGTGCACGATGTACTGCAGTTTCTCGAAATAACCGACAACTCGGTAACCTTCCTCTGGGCTACGGAGGAAACCGGCTTCCGGCATCTGTACTTGGTAACCTCTAGTCTTGCCTCGAATGGCAGTAGCAGCAGCAGCAGCAGCAACGGTAGCACCACTAAGATCAATCACACTGTCGACAATAGTAACAGCAATCACTGTCATCACATGGAAGGTGCTTTCGGCGGGGAAAGGACCACTAGCAGTCACGTTCATCAGCATTATCATAATCATACGGGTGCTGGGAGCAGCAACCTTGATGGCTGTGGAACATTGCTACCTCGCATTATAAATAAGGTTCGTAGAAGACAAAAAATAAATCAGGATCAGATTGCTTCACTAATTAGATTATCACAAACAAACACAGGTGGCGTTAACCTCCGGCGATTGGGAAGTCCTGGGACGTAACGTTTGGTTTGACGTGCAGCATCAGTTGGTGTACTTTATGGGCCTGCGGGAGACTCCCCTGGAGAAGCACCTCTACGCCGTTAGTCTGCTGAAACCTAACTGGCTTCGATTGCTCACCGTTCCCGGATACTCATTCACCATAGAATTCAACGACGTAAGTTACCTACCCGCTACCGCTTCCACTGTCATCGTTCAATATGTTACATTCCACCTTTCTCCCGCATCGGTAGGACTGCACTATGTTCCTGCAGACGTACTGCAATATAAAAACGCTGCCATCGTGGGAACTGGTACAGATCAAGCAAACCTGTCCGGACGGTAGCGTTTCTGGACTGGAACTGACCTCGATGGGCTATCTATTCGAGGGTGGTCCATCCGAAAACACTCAGTTCAATCCAACCATCTACAGCCCCCGGTTGGCATCTGGTGAGACGATTCACGCCATGGTGTTCAAGCCGCACAACTTTACCCTCGGCGTGAAGTATCCAACAGTGCTGAACGTGTACGGTGGACCGGAGGTGCAAACTGTCAGCAATACCTTTAAGGTGCATAGTTCAGGTGCGTAGATTTCGTTGGATTCTTTTTTTCAAATCGGGATTCATACGATTGTAGGGCATGCGACAGCTACGAATGCATATGCTTGCCGCCCAGGGATACTGCGTGATCTGTGTGGACTCGCGAGGCTCCCGGCACCGAGGTGTACAGTTCGAAAGTCACATCCGCTGTCGGATGGGCACGGTAGAACTGAACGATCAGGTCGAGGTACTGAAGATCATCGCCGAACAGCTCGGGTACATCGACATGGATCGGGTGGCCATACATGGGTGGTCCTATGGTTAGTGTTTCGATTTCTGTGATGGGAGGTTGGGAAACTGTTGACCCTTTTACTATTGTTTTTTTTTTCTTTTGCGCAGGCGGTTACCTGAGTCTGATGGGTCTGGTGCAGTATCCGGAAATATTCAAGCTTTCGATTGCGGGAGCTCCGGTAACGAGCTGGGAGTACTACGATACGGGCTACACCGAACGCTACATGAACCTTCCGGACAATAATCGGTCCGGCTATACGGCCGGATCGGTGCTGAACTACATCCACAAGTTCCCCGATGAGTGAGTATCTTTTGAGGTTTGGCCCACCCTGTGAATCATGTAGGGAAAACAAGCGACAACCTTTAGGATTTTGATTGCAAGTCATCCGGTTCCGGAGATGTGGCTAGACAATGGCTGAAATCTTTGGCATTTTCAGGGTGTCCAGTGAACCGGGAAGAAACTGAGAATTTCGATGACAAATCGGGAAACATCGTCCTCTCTTCGAGAAAAATTAGATTTTGGACCTTGAAAGACCATTGGACTAGATTTTAAGGATGCAGTCACTTCGAATAATTAGAGAATTTTTGAATTTTTTCTAATGTAATTTTGAGCAGATTTTAGAATGTATTGTAGGGCTAATAGAAAGGTATTTCCTAGGGCGTTTGGGATGAGCATTAAGAGAGTTTCGACTAGAATTCCAAGCCAATTGTGTGAGTGCAGCTCTGCGGAAAGTTCCATGGCGATTGTGAAGAGGATTCCAGGATTCGTGAAAAATAGCAAACCCTCAGCGTCCGAACCGGTCGCGTCCAATTGACCGCAAAGCCACACTCTACCCGTCACACCAAAACCGGGAGCTCAAAAGCAGTTACAGACACAGGAATCAACATCAATAAATGTTGAACAGTGCCCGAGTGTTGAGACTTTAGAAATCGTAAAACCAGCAGACATCCAGCGAAAGGAAAACGACAGCAACACATGGACTAGAATAACGCGAAAATCAGGGTCGCTCCGAAAAAGCGACGGCAACGAGACCGATTCTTCAACGTCCAGCAAGCATTCACGAAGGCCGGTTGGCAAACCGGCGATGACTAACTAGACAAAGAATCCAACTTCTAAACAGTTCTCTTCACCAGTTACAATATTGCTGAATGTATACCACACTTTGTTGTGTTTATGTCACGTCTGGAACAGTATTCCGCGTCCAGAGAGACTTACTTACTTACTTCAGGGTCCTCTAACCACCGGAGGTGCAAAGGGCCAACGTGAAAGACTTCCATCCTGTGCGGCTGCTCGCTTTTGCCTTGACCTGCGGCCAGGTCAGATTCCTATCGACTTGCTTTATTTCCTTGTTAAGGCTCCATCGCCATGAGCCCCTGAGTCTGCCTCTGCTGCGATGTCCTGCCGGATTCCAATCCAGTGCTTGCTTGCAGATTTCGTTTCCGCCCCGTCGAAGTGTGTTGCCGACCCACCTCCACTTTCGCCCTCGAATTTCTGTTGTTTTCGGCTTCTGATGACATCGACGATGGAGCTCGGCATTCGAGATCCAGTTGTGAGGCCACCAGGCACGAATTATAGACCTACAGCTTCTGAGTGTTCTCCGCTGATACACACCACGTCTCGCTGGCGTATAACAATACAGATTTCACGTTCGAGTTGAAAATTCGGATTTTGGTGCGTTGACTTATCTGGTTTGATCTTCATACGTTTCGTAAACTCGCAAAGGCAGCCCTAGTCTTCTTGATTCGTGCACCTATGTTACTCTTAGTCCCGCTGTCCGACGCTATTTGGCTGCCAAGATATTGGAAACTTTCTGAGAGAGCGGTTCTTTAATACCACCATCGATGCCCTTCTCTCCAAGCAATCGTACAACAGTTGCAGCTTCAAGACGCGTTGCTAAAACTACGCCCTGGAGACCCTGGTCACACGTATGTTACGGCAAATTCATTCATCAAGATTAAACCTCATCTTGGTCCAACACAAGGGCGCGAGTTCTGATCGCTTTGTCCCCATCTCCTCACCAGCGAAAATATGGCAGAGTTGCAGACACGTTGGCAGTTTTGGACTCGCCAAAAAGGTGACTACCGGAGCTGGATGGCGTGTTGCTAGTTTTGACGTAGGATTACGTCTTTCGGCAACATGTTGGGGGTGCAATTAAAAAAAAAAAACAAACCGACGACCGAGCCGATGGCATTACGAAAAGTGGTAAAGTTTTGTCCACTTATAGCTCTGTCAATAGCAGATGAATTTTAATGCTAAACAAGCCAATCGATTGGAATTTTTTTAAGAATCTGATCTAAAATGAATACTTTATCAATTTTCAAAAGGTCACTATTGAAAATTATACAAATGTCCAACTGTTGCAATGGTGATCATAATTATCACCGATTGCCTGCAAAAAGCGCTTTCCCTAACACAGATTTCAAAATCGAATTCCATCCTGTTTTGCCGAACGGTGCTTATTCAATCACCGTGTGTGGTGGTGTCCGGTCGGTCATCATCAGAAGCAGCAGCAGCAGCAGTGCTTTCGGCGTGTGGCGTTGAACATTTTTCTCCAATACACCACGAAAGGCTGCCCGCAAGTAGTGAGCTGCAGCCCACATGAGCGTCCATTCGCCGAAGAAGGAAGAAGAAACCGCACCGCTACTGATCGGATTCAGTTGTTCGTCGTGAGCCGCTGTGGGTCATCTTCGCCGAGCGCGTCACCCTCGTTCCAAACAAGATATAGCTCACCAGCCTCAACCGTCTTGAACACCCTAATAGCAACCGGTGGAAACCAAAGATTTTAAATTGGCTCACTACTTGACTAGCCTATTGGTCCCAATCAAACGATTAACGTACCCCATTCTAGTCGAAATTCTACAAGTTGGATTGCTGCAACTACCGTGTGATCACACTGCTGAGCGCCGCCTACAAGGTTCTCTCTCAAATTCTATGCCGCCGCCTGTCACCATTTGCAAGAGAGTTCGTGGGGCAATACCAGGCGGGATTCATGGGTGCCCGCGCTACCACGGACCAAATTTTCGCGATTCGGCAGGTTCTGCAGAAATGCCACGAATACAACGTGCCCACACATAATTTGTTCATCGATTTCAAATCCGCATACGACACAATCGATCGAGATCAGCTATTGGTGATGATGGATCGAGTGATGTGCGTTGTTCGAGTATCGGAGACACTCTCGAGTCACTTTGAATCTCGAAGGGGGTTACGGCAAGGTGATGGACTTTCGTGTCTGCTATTCAACATCGTGTTAGAAGTTGTGATCAGAAGAGCTGGGATAGACACGAGTGGCACGATCTTCAGGAAGTCTACTCAGCTTCTTGGCTTCGCCATCGACATCATGGCACGGAACTTGCCATCAACGCATCGAAGACAAAATACATGAAAGGAAAAGGTTCTAGGGAAGACAATGTTAGCCTCCCACCCCGAGTTCAGATTGACGGTGACGATATCGAGGTGGTCGATTAGTTGGTGTATTGGGGCTCACTGGTGACCACCGAAAATGATACCAGCAGAAAAATTCAAAAACGCATTATGGCAAGGAATCGTGCCTACTTTGGACTCCGGTCTAATAAAATTCGCCGCCGCACGAAGTTGACTAACCATAAGACGCTGATTAGACCGGTGGTCCTCTATGGCCACGAGACCCGGACTATGCTCGTGGAGGACCAACTTGGTGTTTTCGAACGGAAGGTGTTGCGTACCATCTACGGTGGAGTGCAGATGGATGACGGAACGTGGAGGAGGCGAATGAATCACGAATTGCACCAGCTGTTGGCAACACCATCCATCGACCACATTGCAAAAATTGGGCGACTACGGTGGCCTGGGCACGTCGTAAGAATGCCGCACGATGACCCAGTGAAAATTCTCGAAAGCGTTGGTTCTCGAAAGCGACCCAACATGAACAAGAAGAAGAGGCGGGTAGCGGGCAAGGTGGATCGACCAAGTAGAAGGCGATCTGCGGACCCTTCGCAAACTACGAAGCTGGCGACGTGTGGCTATGGATCGAGTAGAGTGGAGACGACTTTTTCGGACAGCAGAGGACAACAAGGCCTTAGCCTGATTGGTAAGGTAAGTAAAGGCTATTCGAGGTAGTAGGACATTCGGGGTAGTATCATAGAATCGGCTAGACCACGAGATCAAGGAGGACTGCTGATCAATCGACATCTCCAGGAGATCGACTCCATTCGTTCGTTCACAACAAATTCCTTCCTCTGATCAAATCCATCATTTTTACCTCGAACACACAATTGCCAGTGGGATTGCGCCGAGAAAGTTGAGCACAGACTGATATGGCACACCATTCGGCGCGTGGACAGTGAGCAGTGCTTACACTGCAATACAGCAACGGAAACACTGAAGCATGAATTGAGTGAGTGTCTACGAGTGACGGCAGCTTGGTCGCATTTCCAGAACGTGTTAGCGACAATCCTTGGCGGTTGGAGGCCTCTCTCTTTCGAGGACCTGATATATCCAGTTATGGACAGCATAGTCAGATGATAAAGAATTTAAAACCTTAAACGTTTTATTAATTAGGGGAAGTGGATGTAATGCCGGCCTAAATGCCCCTAATTTGGGCCCATACATAAATTCAACAATCGACTAAATTTTCAATGGCGGCCAAAAATATCCATTAGTACCGTCCCAATCATCTAGATAAAATTGAAACAGCAGATTTTTAGCGATGGACCCAATCTTAGATCCATAGGCCAACATTGGAGCCATTTCCCCTATGTCACTTTTATCATAGATTTCGATAACGCAGTAGACGTAGGCGAACTGCTAAGCAATTTGCCGTTACACATATTACTGGACACATCGTGTTCGGAATGTAAAGTGAATTTTGATACAAAGCAAGGAATTCTCGGCTCCGTAAAGCTAACGCGATTGAGCATTTCAAATAAACGAACGAGGTAAAAAAGTCACATAAATTGTCTCAATGATTTGCACTCTTTAACCACATTAACGCGCCATCAAAAACATGCTCTTTCCATGGACCAATAAGAGATTATCTTTCAAATTGCGGCGATGCCTATCGAGTTAGTCTCATACCTGTTATTCATACATCACTAGAATGAAACAATCAAAGGCACGTGAATATAAAACAGCGGAAACCGATCGAGCGATTTCCATACAGGATGTTCTGGATAATCACTCCTACTAGCTATATAATTTAAAACTTACGCCTTCCTTCTTTCCTACCATCCACAGGGACAACCGACTGCTCATCATCCACGGTTTGATCGACGAAAACGTCCACTTCTTCCACACATCACAGCTCGTCAACGGACTGATCAAGGCCAACAAGCCCTACCAGCTGCAGGTCTACCCGAACGAGCGCCACTCCTTACGCAATCTGGAGGCCAGCAAACACTACGAAACCAAGCTACTGTCCTTCCTCCAGAACCACCTGTGAGTGTCCCCGTCTTCTTCCCTTCATAGCCCCGATGGTTTCTTTAGCCGCGCGCCTTTTGACCTCCTCTGTTTTCCTCGTCTAGTCCGCGAATTTGTGCTTTCCCTGTATGTTCTTTCCACGAGAAAAAAGCATCGGAAAAAACGCTTGTTGTAACGTAAAAGTTTAGGTCTTGTGTAAATTGTTGATTGGATGGAGAAGAGATCGAAGAACGGTATGCGGCAGTGTCTCGATCAGAATTGTGTACCTACCCTCGTATAAGCAATCTATACTATAATCTATATTAGTAATAGTAACCTTTGTTTAACTGTTATGCTTTTGACTGAACCACCCTCCCCCCTCCCCCCGCGCGAAACTCCCCGAAATCGACTGAAGCGATTATTTGCACAGCTACCTATATAGCGTAGAAAATAGGAATGAACTTCATCGCCGCTACCAACATTTAGCCAACGCATAAGTCATCTAGATTTTAGCGCCATTCATTCGTACGGAAAAGGCTACCGAATTACAGTAGAGCATGGAAGGGAAGACAGAGCAGTGACGACATTTTCTGGGCACCTAGAAAGAAGGAAATTAATGCAAATATATGCAAAAGCGATCGTCTATTTTACTCAAAGCAAAAGCAATTAGGCAATACATTGTAACGTGTTCTTTATATGTGTAGGACTTTTGTTTGTTTTTTTTTTAGCTTACAGATACAGACAAATATTGATGAATATGATAGAAATTGTGTAAAATTGGTTTGCTAGCTGCGGATTGTTTATTTTTTTAAATTAATTGATGATTTTATCCAATTTTAACAGGCAGCCAGAAGAGAGAATTAGTTGCTGTTTAGAGACCTTGCTTTGACTTTTCTTAGGGTATATTTTTCTATATATATATACATATATAGGAAAAGAGAAAGTTATGCGTACAACAAATAAAATATAACAATAGAGCGGTATATGAAAGCATTAATGCTGACGTGAGAAGCAAAATAAAGGTTTAACTCTCAACTCATCAACAGTAGAAATATCAGAGCGAAATAATATATTTATTGTGCACAAAAGTATCCACTGCTGAAACTATTTTGTTGTTTATAAAAAACCGAAATGTCACTGAGTTGTCTTTATTTTTGTATTTTATATTTTTCAGAATAAGTGAATCAAGATTGTCTGACCGGCGACACGGTGTAAATGGACCAAGTAGAGAAAATTGACCCGGTTCTGCAGTTGCAACGTTTTCGAGGTAAGTGCTTGGCAGGCCTACTCAATGCGACAAGTGAGGTGAGGTGACTCTCTGTCACTATTCAAGTGACAAAAATCACCACGTGGGACATAAGGCTTCGTGCAAATCAAATTGTCTAAGGAAAATCTTCAATAAATCCATCGATTTGCTTAGTGTAGCTCGGATCATTAGTGACGTCAGATAACAACTGTGACATTGAAGAATTTGAAATTGTGCAGAGGGGTGCAGCGAGCTAGGTGGTTAGACCAAGTGGAAGAAAATCTGGAAAGTGTGAGACACTCAAGAAACTGGAAAACAAGCAGCCACGAACCGAGTTATTTGGCGCATATCTTTTCACCGCATTCAAAAGCCAATAATGTTTGATTATTCTGTTTCCGGGCAAACGCTTGAGAGGGTGTTTAAGTTTCATCTTTATGTAATGCAACATTATGACCTTTATACGATTTTTGTACCATACAAAAGTATACATTACATCGGCCTCAATAGTGCCTGAGTAAAATGCAAGTACTTTCGATGATTACCACTTGTTACGATCTCGCCAACGACGCCAGATTTCAGCTGTGTGCTTGTGTAGAAGTTGCCACTTATCCAGACGATTCATCGGGATGTGACGGACATCAGGCTCTGGGATGAGGTTCATCGGTTGACCGACCAGGAAATGTCCTGGGGTCAGTGCTTCGTAGCTGTCAGGATTCGATGAAAGTGGACATAGCGGCCGGGAGTTCAGGCACGCTTCCACCTGCGCCAATATCGTTGAGTGTTTTTCAAACGTTGCTGCTTCGGAGCACAAGACCGCCATCAGGTGCTTCTTGCCGCTCTTGACCACCGCCCCCAGATACCACCACAGTGTGGCGCTGAAGGTGGATTGAACACCCATTTAATTCCCAAGTTGGTGAGAAATCGACAATCAGCTTCGTTGTGGGTCTGTCGCGCAGTTTGAATCTCCTTCAGCCAACGGTCGGTCCAAACGAAGTTTGTTCCACAATCCGACCAAATCTCGTTCGGATGAGACCTCCGTGAAATAAATAGCTTCAGTGCACAAATGAACATGTTGGTCGAGAGGTCACTGGCGGTGCACTTTGAGGTCGCCATACATACGAATACTACGATGTAGGCCTTGGTCATCTTCACACCTCGAACGCATGATGCATGAACCTTCAGAGGGCCGGCGTAATCCACGCCGACGTGGGTGAATGCTCGAGTGCCCATCATCCGAGGCACCGGTAGGCTGCCCATGGGCTGCGACACCGTCTTACCCTTGAGTCGAACGCAACGCGTGCATCCTTGAACTGTTAAGCGGACAGCCGTTTGAAGTCCGAGCACCCAGTATTGTTGGTTGACTGTAGCTGTGAGCAGCGTGGGACCTGCATGGAGGTTTCGGCATGTCCTCGTGTCCAAAACATCCTCCCACTCCCATCGTTCCTTGGCTATCCAGGAAGGGGTGAAGGTAGACAGTTTGTGTTTGGCTGGCAAATCCTTACCCTTCTGCAACAGCTCCAGTTCTTGCTTGTATGAAGCGTACTGTGCAGCTCGAGTTAACTGCGCCTTGGCATCGTAGATTTCGTTCAGCGAAAGTCCGGGTTCGAGGTTCGCGTCCTCCGCCTTGACTGCCAACAAGAATCGGTTCACATATGCCAGCGTGCGCACGATGAGGGTGTAGTTGGATCGTCGTTCTAGTAGACCATTCTCGATGTCGTAGTTGGTTCGGATAGCCAGCGCTGCGGCGTGTAGAACCTTCACCTGACGGGACTTGAGTACCTCTTCATCTTCGGTTGTTTCGACAGGTACTTGCTTCCAGTGGTCAGCTTCCGTTTTGAGTTCGCCTGGCCCATGCCACCAGAGCGGGTGCGTCACAAGTTCACTAGGTGTGAGACCTCGTGAGGCACAGTCGGCAGGATTGTTCTCGCTTCGCACATGATTCCAGCGGTCACGCGGCAGCACTTCTAGAATTGCAGATGTACGGTTGGCTACATAAGATTTCCATTTGCGAGGATGAGTGGACGACCATTGGAGCACAATGCTGCTGTCCGTGTGGGCCCAAAGATCCACTTCGAGGTGGCTGAGCGCTTGCATTGTTGATTCCATCAGTGTTGATAGTAGAGCCGCTGCGTTGAGCTCCAACCTTGTTAGCGACACTTGCTTGATCGGAGCCACCCTGGTTTTGGCGACCAGGAGATTCACGACTATGTCGCCAACTTCGTTCCTTCCTCTAGCATACACTACCGCAACGTACGCCAGCTCCGACGCATCCGCGAATCCATGCAATTCGATCTTCCCATTGTAGTTGGGTGCGAATCGAGGGATGCGTATCTGCTCCACTTGATGTAGAGTTTCCTTGATTTCAAACCACGCTGCAAAGTTGCTAGAACAAATTTTTGACTCTGACGGTTACAGGTAAGAGCCATCTAAACGGATCGAATAGCTTGCAGGAATCAGAAAGAAGCTGCCGTTTGGTGTTCACGCTGTTCGGGTTCAAGCTGACCTTGAACGAGAATGTGTCCTCCTTGGGTAACCACTGAATGCCGAGTGCCTTGACTGGCGTTTGATCGTCCTCCGGTGCTTCCTGGAGTAGTTCCGAACAGTTCGTGGTCCATTTCCGCAGGTGGAAACCAGCGGACTCCAAAATCTCCACAACTTTCTCCTTCAATTTCCTCGCATGCTCAACGTTCTGCGCGCCAGACAGAAAATTGTCGACGTAGGTGTCGAGCTCAATCCTCTGCGCGGCTTCGGGATACACTTGATTGTACTCGCGGGCTACTTGCTTCATGACTTCGATCGATCCTCAGGTAGTCGCGATCCGCCGGGTGAACCATCACCTGGCGATACAACATTTTCTCTACGTCCGCTGAAAACGTCACCGGGTGGGTTAGGAAACGTAGAAACACCGAGAAAAGATCCTGGTTGACGTTGGGTCCCGCCAGGAGTCTGTCGTTGAGCGACACGCCAGTCGAAGACGCGCACGAGGCGTCGAAGCCCACCCGCAACTTAGTCGTCGTGCTTTCGGCCTTGACGACGGCATGGTGTGGAAGGTAGAAACACTTGCTAGTCTCTACCTCCAGTTCGTCCGGTGCCCCGACGCCAGGTATTCGCTGAGGAACTCCGAGTACAGCGTATGGAATTCCTCATCCTGTCGAAAACGTTTTTCCATCGATCGCAATCGCTTGATGGCCGAAGTGAGGGACTCACCCTGCGCCGGCTTCGAATCATCGAACAGCAGTCGCACTATGAAGCGCCCATTTTCATCCCGTGTGAGAGTAGACCTAAAGAGCTCGGAACCTTCTCCTGCTCCCAAAACATCCGCAAGGTGCGGTTGAGGTCCAGCTCTGTGTGAAGATTGACGATCGAGACGTTGCATCGAAGACTCGATGAGTATATGGCTTGATTCTCGGGCACAATACACCCGAAGATCGTGTTCTGTGCCACAGGAACACCACCGTTGTCTTTGACTTGCCCTGGCTTGAGGAGAGCAAGAAAGACATCAGATCCCAAAATGATATCGATCGGACCTGGCTGGTAGTATGTCGGATCAGCGAGGTTATCCTGTATCTTCTTATCCAGGAGGCTTGAATGAACCCTGCATTGCTGTGTAGGAAGCGTTGAGGTGAGCTTCCCCAGAACGTAGGCACTTGTCTGCAAAACACACGCGTCGGTAAACCGGTTAGCCATCACCAGCTTCACAAGGCCACGCGTTGTTGCGGCTGCATGTTGTCCCAGGCCGGAAACCGTTAGCTTTTCGTTGGAGTGAGACAGACCGAGCTTCTTGACGCAGGCTTCCGAGATCAATGATGCTTCAGAGCCCGAGTCGATCAGAGCACGCACTTGCAGAAGACAGCCGTCGAATCCCTGTACACGGATGACAGCAGAAGGTAGCACGACCGACTTCTGCTGTGGCTCCAGCGATACCCGCGCCACCATTGAGGTGATGGCCGCTTCACCCGCTTGCTGCTGGTCTCAATCACTGTTTTCCACTGGTTTCTTTTTCCCATCTTCACATTTCAGTTCACTTGGCAGTGTGTGATGCCGCTGCTTACAGTTTTCATTCCGGCACACTGATTTAGAACTACAAAACTTCGCGGTGTGCGATGCCCTAAGGCAATTAAAGCACAATCTCGCGTTCTTCACTAGTTCGCGCCTGCACTGAATGTTCATCTCTTTGAATTCACTGCACTGAAATAACGGATGCTCATTGGAGCATTTCGCGCACTTTTCTCCTACTGCAGCTGTGTGCAACGACTGCATCTTCTTCTCACTTGCTGGTTTCTTCGACGGCTCCTTCTTGACTGCTTCCGTTGTTGTCTTCTTCGTAAACGCTGTGCAAGTTTCCAGCGCATCGCATCGGTTGTCCAGGAACTTGATGAAATCGTCGAAGGAAGGGGTTCTCTTCTTCAATGATTTACTGCGCCCACAAAGCCGATCATCCTTATCCAGCTTTTCCAGTAGGAAGTAGATAGGCCACGGATCCCGTGTGCCATATTCCTCACCAAGTGCGTTCAACTGTCGCACCACCTCATCAGAAGTAGTGACGAGCTTGCGTAGACTTCCGGACGTGGCGGTGGTCACCGCCGGCTGGTCCACGAACTCACGAATAAGAGCGAAAACGGTATATTTTTTCTTATCGTAGTGGTTCGTGGTTCGTGTCGGAAATCGGGAACGAACTTACCAGCTGCTTCGCGCTGCCGTCGAGGTAGGACACAAGATATTGCATCTTGATAGAATCCTTCGGATCGTTCCGGTCGTGAATGGTCGATTCAAAAATGTCCTTGAATGACCTCCAGCTCTTCCGATCACCGCTGAACGTCGGCACGTTGATCGATGGAAGCCGCACATTCAGAAAGGGTAAACGATTCGACACCACATCGCCCGCTGCTGGATCGAAGTTTGGTTGGTTGTTGTTCGCGGAGCTTGCCACCCGGTGCCCTTCCAGCAAGGCGCGTTGAGTGATGAGCAGCATTTTCATCGCCTCTCGGAGGTCGCTGTCGACGATCGTTTTGCCACTGGATGTTTATCGTCCTTCAGGAGAACCATCGTTCCTTGGATGATGTTGTCCCGTAATCGTTTCCACTTGGTACGAGGGTGAAGGCCAGACAGATAGTCGATAGTCCATCATTTCCACAAGCGCCGTAGAAGCTCTTGATTCTCCTCAAGCCGATTTCGAGGTACCTCCGAAAGGTCGGGTCCAGTGAAGCAAGTAAGTGGACGATGGACGAGGAAGTGACCCGGCGTTAAAACTTCCAAGTCATTGGGGTCAGCCTTAAGAGGAGTTAACGGTCTTGAATTTAAGCAGGCTTTGATCCGAGTCCGCAGGGTGACGAATTCGTCCTGAGATAGGACTGAGTTTCCAACGGTTCGACGAAAGTGATGTTTGAAGAAGTTCACCGCCGCTTCCCACAACCCGCCCTGTTGCCTTTACGATACTGGAACGGTCCACAAAGATCTACCCCGCTGTTGAGGAAGGGCAACGTTGGAGTAACTCTTTCTGGAGGCAGTACTCCCATGAGCTGCTGGAGGCTACGAGGATTACAGCGAAAACAGCTTATGTAAGCGTGCACTATGCTTTGTGCCAAGTTTCGAATGTGAATTGGCCAGAACTTTTCCCAGACACATGCTACAAGCAGCTGAGGCCCGGCGTGTAAATTTTTCAGGTGATAATAGGTAACAATTGACTTGGTAAGGGGATGTCGTGCCGGTAGTATTACAGGATGTTTCTGCGTGTCTGAGACGGCCACGGATTCTAAGGATTCCGTCGACGAGAATTGGAGCAAGGTTTCGTAAATCCGAATTGGGTGCAACTTCACTGTTTCTGGCTACTGCTGCGATGTCTTTAGCGAAAACCTCGAGTTGTGCCAACCAAACTAGGTTGTTGGTGGCTTCAGTGAGTTCCGAAGTACGTAAGAATCCATAAGTGCGATCATAACGATTGCCGGGCTTACTGTTGTGACTAAAGCGACGTAGAAGAGCAACGATACGAACGAGAGCCGGAAACGACGATCGAATAAAAAAAATGGTGAATGCACCTGCACCGGTAGTGAAACGGATCTCTCTTCCAGTAGTTCAACCGGTAAGTCGAAAGATGTTTGTTGCGTTAGATGAGGCCAAAACCGTGACGGTTGGCTCAGCCATGCCGGGCCTCTCCACCAGGATGATGTGTCTTGCAGCTGTGTCGGATACATTCCACGGGAGATGATATCAGCCGGATTGTCGATACCAGATACATGTGCCCAAATGCCGTTGATCGTGAGATGCTGCTCTTCCGAAACTCTTTTGGCAATGAAAGTTTTCGGCCGCGATGGAGTTGAACGGAGCCAGTGTAGGGTTATCATCGAGTCAGTCTTTGAACCTTCTGGTAGAGATGGCTCAACAGAAGTGCTGAAGAGAGTTCCAATCTAGGCAGACAAATACGTTTCTGCTTCTGCAAATCACCAAGAGGTGCTACTTTCGACTTGGCAGCCAATAGATGTACGACAATCTTCCCGTCGGTTGAAACGGTTCTCAGATAGATGCAGGCCCCATAAGCCTTCTCAGAGGCGTCACAGAAGCCGTGAATTTTAATTGATACGCAAACGGACGTGGATGCTGCCCATCTAGGGATGGTGATCGATGCTAGTCCATGTAAACTGTCGCGGAAGTCCAACCAATGCTGCTGTTGGAGCTCGTCTAATGGATCTTCCCAGGATTCAGACGTTCGCCAGAGAGATTGGACAAAGATTTTAGCAAGGACTGTCACCGGGCCAATCAACCCAAGTTGGTCGAACAGTTTTGCTGTGTCTGAGAGCACGGTTCGTCTTGTGATTGTGTTAGTTTGGGATCATTTAGGAACGGAATAGTGGAGTAGATCCGTTGATGGTTCCCATATGACTCCAAGGGTTTTGATGGTTGTTGGGAAATCTCATTCTTCAAGCAGTTCTGGTGGTATGACCAAGAGAATAGACGGCGAGTTGGACGCCCATTTACGTAAATTGAAACCAGCAGACTGCAACAGGTTTCGCAATTGTCTGCACAATTCCCGTCCTTCTTCTTCGTCGTCGACACCGATCAGCATATCATCCATGTAAAAATCCTTCGACAGGACATCCGCCGCTTGAGGAAACTGATCAGCACCTTCCTTCGACAGCTCTAGAAGACATCTTTTAGCCAAGTACGGCGCTGAGGCAGTACCGTAGGTAACGGTGGTTAGTTCGAATGTTTTGATCGGTTCCGAAGACATACGTATAGACTGTACGTCATCCTACAAAACATAACGGCGCCGGTGGTGTAGTGGTAAGCGTGATTACCTCTCACCCCAGCAGGCCTGGGTTCAATCCCAGTCGGCGCCGCCGGGATGTTCTGAGGCATAACATCTCTGATCACGCCTTCCTTCGGATGGGAAGTAAAGCCGTTGGTCCCCGGTTCATGAGTTGATGGGTCGATAGGTGGGGTCCAGGTGTGGGAGCTGCCTTCCTGGCACGTCGGTAGCATTGGTGCTCAGCACGGAAAACAAGATCGACGGAAAAAACAAACCAAAGGAAAAATCCTACAACACAGGACCCACTATCAACGCTTGATCAAGGGATACTCCCAACAATCAATACGAAACTAACGATTTTAAATTGGCTCACTACTTGACTAGCCTATTGGTCCCAAGCAAACGATCAACGTACCCCATTTCTAGTCAAAATTCTAGTACTACACAATGTTTGTTTTGATTCGCTATGAAAGTTTGACAGATAAAATGAGGGGTTAGTGGATTTTCCTATGTTTCGAGGGGTGAATCGATTAGCTTGGGACCGAAGATAGTACCAGAGCTGAGCCAAAAAGTTGAGCACTTTTCTTCGGGACCTACTAGTCTTAGAGTTACCTCTATAATACTCCGCTGTCCGTCCGACAAGTAGTAGTAGTAGTAGAAATAGTAGTAGTAGAGTAGTAGTAGTAGAGTAGTAGTAGTAGTAGTAGAGTAGTAGTAGTAGTAGAGTAGTAGTAGTAGTAGTAGTAGTAGGTAACTCTTAGACCAGAAGGTCCCGAAGAAACGTGCTAAACTTTTTGGCTCAGCTCTGGTACTATCTTCGGTCCCAAACTAATCGATGCATCCCTCGATACATCGGAAAATCCACGAACCCCTCATTTTATCTGTCAAACATTCATAGCGAATCAAAACAAATATAGTGTAGAACTAGAATTTTGACTAGAATGGGGTACGTTAATCGATTTGCTTGGGACCAAAAGGCTAGTCAAGAATGAGTCAATTTTAAATCGTTAGTTTTCACCGGTTGATATTACTAAGTCTTACAAGCGGGGAAAAAACTGCTTTCGTAATTATTGCACGACCCCTACCGTCCACTTTTCTACCGTTTGAATATTATTACAAAATGATGGTAGTGGTCCTAAAAAAAAAAATCATTACAATAGATCGAAACGAACGGAATTCAATTGTCTTTTCATCTTATTACAATTTATTATCAAAGTTTTTGGGTTCACATCCTCTTCTGTTCCAGACACTTCGTCTCTTCTTTGTTCTTTAATAAATAAAACAAAAGCGGTTTGGTTAGCACGGTTCCCCTTCACAGTCCGGGATCTTCTTGTTGAAAAATGTTTTCTACTGCTTGTGTGTGTTGAATAAAATATAAAACTCCTTATCACCTAGGAACGCCGCTCACAGTATCACATATTGCGCAAAGTCTACTCCGGCTGACGGTAGACCCCGTTGAATAGTACCGCTTGGGTGCCGTAGTCGTAGATGAGGAACACGAACGGATGATTACAATGGAACATGGCTGGTTCGACTGGTCGTGACGATCGGAAGCTGAACAGAACCGTACCGGAAGCGGCCGTCGATCCCTTCTCGTTGACTTCGATCTTGGACTTTTGGAGGATTTCGTCGAATCCAATGTTTTCCTTGTCGGAGAAGCCGGAGAAATTGGCAGCGTTATCGAATATCTTGCCCATTCCTAGCCGTTCCAGAACTGGCTTCAGTTCGACGACCTTCTCGATGTTGAACTTGGGTAGCTTGACGTCCACCATACGGGGGATGCCTTCGTTGACGATCTCACTCAGAATGCCGGTGTCGGAGGTGAGCCGAGCCAGCAGTTGTTCCAACGAGTTGGGGACGGCCGGAGGCAAAAAGACGAACATCGACACGCGGTTGGATTCGTCTTGACCCTTGTATGGCATTTCGAGGATGTGACAGCCGAGTTTCTCGTTGGCAGCTGCGGATGAGGAAGGGAATGTTAGATGAGGATCATCTAGTGAGTAAATTGAATACATACCGTGGCTGAAGGTTCCCAGGACATGCATCATGTCGACGAACTCCTGTCGTTCGCTGGATACGTAGAAGATTTCCTTTTGAGTTTGCTCCGACTTGAATTCGCTCTGCCAGGTTCCCTGTAATCAATATAATAGTTTAAAAATTGCCTACAGTACGAACAAACAAGCTTGGCATATACCTTGAAGTAGGCAGCATTGGCAATAGCCAGCTTAGTCTGCTTGGTGATCGATCCAGGAATCAGCAGGTCCTTGATCTCGCCATAGGTCACATTCTCGACCCAGTTGTTGATGTACTGCCGCGAACCGTCGGAGTCTTGCTCAAAGTCGAGCTTTTCGATTTCCTCGAAGAATTTCTCTTCCATGCATTCCCGGACGGCGACCTGCTTTCCGAAAAACAGTTTATCGACCGAAGTGAACTGGATGTCGCTGTTCTGGCCGAATCGTGCGGCTAGCGACTTCTTGCCAATGTTGTACGCCTGCCAGACGACGGGTTTATCCTCGGTCCAGTGCAGTTCGAGCCCGGTCCGGAGGAGTTTCTCCGTTTCGGCTCGTGCTCCGAAGAAGGCCAACAGCAGCACGTGGTACAGGCTGTACGGCGAGAAGAAGACATTTTCCGTTGGAGTCGCCGCGTTGATGGCCTCCAGTAGCTTCAGGGTGAAGATGGATTCACCCTTGTACAGTCGATTCCGGGACAGTGGATTGTCCGCTTTGGTGTGCTGAACGTTGTCGTCCTCGGCCAAGCATTGACCGTGGACGGTGGGGGCAGCCAGTGCCACCAGGAGTAGCACAATCGTTGGAAGGTTTGTCATCTGTAATTGAGAAAAAGAGGGGTTATGGGTTTGCAGAAACGAAGTAAAATACATTTTGTATATGAATTGAGGTCATTAAACCTGGACCGCCAACAGTGCTAGGGAACTATTTAAGCTTCTTCAGCTTCCACTTCTTAGATAGATAATCACCACTTACTGACTGCTCTCACCGCAAGAAACGAAATGAATCCTTCAAAATATGTTTGCAAAAATTTGATTCACTCATTTTACCCCGAAACCGCTTGGTATAGGCTTTCAGCCTGGCGCTGGTTCGCCTCCGTTGGCATTAGAATAGAATCATCAAATCAATCGCCCATCAAAAGCATCTGGTTCGCGTGGTGAGGCTTCATCAGCACTTGATCATTTTAATAAAATAATAAGTAGGTAGGGAAAGGAGGGGCATGGTAAACAGATGGGACATAATAAGCATCCTGCACTTTAGCTTTAAATTTCTAATTGTTCAAAGCAAATTAATTGGTAGTAGATTCAATATCAATATCTATATGATATTGAACATACTATCAATTAATTTGCTTTGAACAATTTGAAATTGCAAGCAGGCTAAAGTACAAGGTGCTCATGATGCCCCTCCTTCCTCAATGTACCAATGAAATGCAAACAATCCTATAATTGAATTAAAACAACTACCCATACGTCGTTCGGTGATGTTAGGTATTCGGTGGAACAACTTCCACTAAGACGCTTATTTTTTAAATATATAAGTGCGAGTGCGAGTAGGGCAGTGCGCGTCTGGGTTTGGTCGTCTGCACACCTTGCTACACAGTATTATGACTCATCTTCCGACAAGTCGTCAACAACACGATCACTCGGTTATTCGGTTGCGTTGCTGTGGATTTTCAAATTCCGGCTTGTTGCTGCAACCACATAGCGATCGCAGCGATACTTACAGTATTTTATGCGTTGGCTTACCGTATTCGTTGCAATTATTTACCTTATAGCAATAATATGTGCAGTCGACACCCACCTCTTTCTTTTCCCATGAAAACGCAGACCTACACGTCTATTGTTTGTCGCTTTGGCGATCGCGAAAAGATGGGTTTCACAATAATTGCAATCTTTCAAGTGGCAGTTCACAGATTCGTAGTAGCAGTCTCGATAGTCGGGTTATATTTACTGAGTATGACCGATCGCACAAATCGATCAGTTGCGCAGCTGGAACTGCTGCGCGCCAAACGACACGCAACAATAATAATCAGCACGTTTCATACCATTCAAGGTGACTGCGGGAAAACCCCAAGACGACAACGGCGGCGACGACGCTGAACTGTATAGCAGGTATTTACAATTACAATTAGCGATTTGTTTAGCAAACTTCAACATTTTCTGTTGTTCATAGGTAGTAAGTCGATAGGTAGGTAGGAACCTTCTCACAAAGCACAGTGGTCTTATTTATGGCTTCATCGATCACTCAGTTAAGAATAAACAATAACTTCGAAGAACTGATTGCTTTTGAGCGATAAGCGGTCGGTGGTTCCAGGCATTCGCGGAGTGTACTCGGTATAAGGCGAGGGGAACGACACTCATTTGGATGCATTTTTTTTTCAGCTTAGTAATTACTTGAGATTTTCGGGGGAAAACGTAATTGATGGGATTTTTTTGAGTGTGTCGTCTTGACGAAAATAGAGCAGGGATAGAAAAATAGATGGGAATGGATTGGGAGTTAAACACACGGGGGTAACAATCACAAATCTCGCGTCACTTTTCAAATAGACCAATGTAACATATCCACCATTTTGAGAAAATCGAAGTTGAAGTTCGACAGATTATTATTTTAAATGTTTAGAAACAATACATTTTGCAATACTATTTTTAATGTAGTCAGTGAATAATAACGTTGAAAATTCAGTAGAAACGGTAAAATCACAATTTTGTTTTGAATTTCATGCTACAATATAGCAAAAACCAAATAGGACGTTTTGACTAGTCAAGTTCCACATTGGACGATTTCTCTCAATGACATAATCAATTAGTGTTACATTGGACGATTTGTTCTACATGATTCTAGATTCCCTTTCACAGATGTCATAGTAGAGTACTAAACTTTAGATTAGCCCCGCCTTTAGAAAATGAGCACCAATCATGTTAGGCAGTCCGAATGACCGAAGTAACAAACATGTACCCATCATTTCAAACTGTACATTGGACAATTTTGGACCTATGATTATCTTAAATAAATGAAAGTAAATTTGGATGGATGTTTTTGTATCACATACAATGATAGAAGAGCAATACTGCCGCTCTTCGCATGTCGGTCCCATAGTTGTTTTTGTCAAAACTGAGTTTTTCAATGCAAATGGTAGATAATCACACATATTTTCAGAATACTGGATGAGCTCAACAACTTTGTACTGAAAAAGGTTGGAAATACAGTCAAATTAGTTGTCCCATCACATAAGAAGCAATGGTACGAAGCAAACTTAAAACGCGATTTTCTCGGCTTAGTGATTTTCGCTATGGGACGGACATGCGAATAGCGGCAGAATAGTTTGTATAGATTAACTCGATTTGTTTACATTTGTTCCATTGGTCTATTTGAAAAGTGACGCGAGAAATTTCGGCGGAGCTCACATCAATGTGATGAATATACACTCTAAAAAATCTTCACGTCCGATTTACGTGAAATATCACGTACCTGATCTGTATTCAGAAAACCTCAAATGTTACGTGATGTTAGTAACTTTGATCTGCATTGTATGTCAGGTTCACTAAAAATGTTCGTGAAATCGACCGCATATTCACGTAAACAGATTTCGTGTATTTGTGTTTGTGTGTTTGAGACTTCGATATTTCCGCAAAACGGGATTTACGTGATTTTCAGGTACGCAAACAAAATCAATATGGCGTCACTGAGCGTGGTAGAAGAACACTTCAAAGATTCAAAATTTTCCAGCAGCTTCCTGCAAATATTGAACGGTAATTTGATTCTTTTACATTAATTGATTTATGATTATATGCCGCATTTTTGTAGTTTTATAATTTCAGACGGTGGCATCAGCATTTTGAGTCTGCGAACCTCGCTGCAAACAGTTGTTACAATTTTGTCAGAAATAAAAAAAAAACTCATACACGTTAATTTTATGAGTAGATATAAGCATTAATTTCAACACGTGGATTTTATATCTGCCCGATAAAATTGCATAATATTGACTGCTTTTATATAAACGATCCATTATTATCATTCAAAATTAACGTACAAATTACGTGAAAAGCATTTTAAACAAAACGGAATGTTACGTAAAAGTTACCAGTTGTCCAGTAGTTTTCACCCCGATTTCACGTAAGCAGTCTGTGAAAATCAGGTCTTATTTACCTGACTAATCACGTAGATAATCGAAGCTGGCTATGTGTAATTCCGGTAAAAGTTACGTGAAAAATAGGGTGGACGAAAACCACCTATGTTTTCACGTAAATCGGACGTGATGATTTTTCAGAGTGTAGCAGGGCTGGTAGCGAGTCACTTTTTAGTGTCTTGGTCTCTTTTTTCAAGCCAGTCACTAAAAAGTCTCTTTTTTTAGGCCAAGTCACTGAAGTCACTTATTCTTGTAATCGGTTACTATTTTCAACTTTTTTAGCGTGAATTTATTTCAAGATTGATCATTGTTGATCTTTGCTTTGTGACGTTTAATCGCCTTTCTCTATATATGTACAGGGTGTCTACTTATTTTTCAAAATAAAATTTCCTGAGTTTTACAGAACATTAACGGATAAATTCAGGGCTTATAATAAGAAAGCTATTTTTTAAATGCGTTAAAAATATGTTTTTTTTTAAATCAAAGCAATAGCAATTTACCCAAACGATTTTGAGACATGACAATCAGTTTTAAAGAAACAGCTTTTCAATCAAGTCCATTGAATGTTGAAGTTTAACACTTACTTAATTTCTCACTTTATAAAGCAAAAAAACTTACTTAGTTGGAGTAAGTCCAATCTAAAATTATTCAATATCTTGAAGTTTCACATTCCATGTACAAGTTAAAGATATTAAAAATTTTCGAAGTGCCAGAATCAAGGAAAAAAATAAAGTTCGTAATTAATTTTATGAAAAATTAGAGATCTTCAATGCAGTTCCATTAACTTCAACCATTGTAGGAACTTTGGAGAAGTTTTGAGTAATGAATGAAATGCTGAGAATTTCAGTGAAGCTCCATAAACAAGCTGCGGGAACATAAGGGAAGTTAATACGCTGAAAATATGGGAACTTACTGGAAATCTTAAGAACCTCAAAGCGGTTCTTTTAGCATCCGAAAATTTCCAGGAACTTTTATGAAGTTCCTAGAATTTCAGAGAACATCACAAGTGTCAAGCGAACTTGAGAAATATAGAAAACATGAGGGGTATTGTCCAAATTTTTAAGAAGTTCTAAGTACCTCAGAAAAGCTAGATCTAGAGATCTTTGGGGAATTTCAGATCTTAAGAGCAGTTTCTGTAGCTTTAATCCAGACTTTTGGAGCAGTTTGAAGATCTATAATCGTAAATTTAGAAAAATTCAGAATAGTTCAATGATGTGCTGAAAAAAAATCGAGAATCCTCAAGATGTTCCGATTCAGGGATGTACAGAGGCCTTCAGAGAAATTATGAAAACTTCAGAAATATTTCATGAACTTCACAGAAGCCCAGGTGTTTACGGGAATTCCATTTGTTTCCGAGCAGAACTGAGATCCTCAATAGAATTTAGAGCTTTAGGGAAGCTTCGGGAACATCAGAGAATCAAAGGGCAGTTCAAATAATATCAAGGAATTGTAGAAACCTTAAAGAAGTTTCGAGAAACTCAGAGAATCCCCGGAAACTTCAGCAAAGCTCCGAGAGAATTTTTGGAACCTGATAGAAATTAAATGAACATCCGGGAAACGTGGGAGTTATTTAAGGGTGTTATATCATGGAGATTTCAAGAACTTAAAAAAGCGAAAATTTAGTTTAGTTGATTAGAGAACATCAAAGAAGTTCCATTAATTTAAAAAAATACGAAAACTTTTAGCAAG